ATTCCTCATTTCGAAAATAAATTTCACCTTTTGAGAAATCTATAGGTCCAAGATTGAAAAATTACGGCACGTTGCTTTATAATTTAAAAAAAATTCAATGACATGAAATGTTCACTAGGATCAAACTATCATTCGTTTCAATCTCAATATCTACTGCCTTTCGCAGTCTACGGGTTGTATATTTGAATGTATCTAAGAGTAATGAAGAAAAAATCACATGATATCAAATGAATTGTATGCCTTATACCTTTTGCCAGAAGAACCATTAAGTGCTGCAAGAAAGCCCTCAATTTCGTAAAGTAGAATATGCTAGAGATTACTTTATTGTTTAATTGAACATCAGTGCCAGTAATCAATGCAGCTTGTACACGATTTAGGAATGTAATATCAGCCGTCGCCCTATTAATCTTGAGTATGAAGAAGTCATGCGCCTGGTGAAATTGTAGACAAGAATAAGTTTTGAATGTAGCTCTAGTACATCCATTTCCGGTTAGATAACCCCTCCATGTATTAGCAGCCACCCCATTTGCCCCATACTCGAATGCAAGTGTCGCTCCATCGGGTAGGTTTTCCAGTGTCGTACCAACAATATCTGCTTGACTGTAGGCGATAAACGATGCAATGTCACTGTTCAACTTACTTTCAACTTCGCACCAATCTTCATCACCTTGAGAATAAGATATGAATCTTTAGAAGATTTATTAAATTAATTATAACTTGACCCTGGTACTGAAACCAGACAGTAGTAAGTTGAAATCCTAATTATATATTCTAAATTCTTCATTACATTACTAAAGAATCTACCTCTATCACAGTAGCACCTGGCGCAGTTACAAATGGGTATCACAAAAGCGCCATTGGCATCTCTCGAGCCATCGCTGTTGCATACGAAGTTGATGTCGTAAAAGTAGGCTTGACGGCAATTGGCACACTGCGTACACGGAACAGCTAGAAATAAGAATATAATTAATAATAATAATTATAGATCTATGAAATTAGGGAAAAAGCAAATCCATCTTAATCCTTCGTAAAATTCGAAAAAATGTTCCGCGGAGTCTTGACTTTTAAACATGGTTGGTAATTAGAAATAGTTTAGTCTTGCTTCAAGACCCTTGCCCCTTTATGTACTTTAACAATTGAGACTTATTAGTTTTCTTGATTACTTTTAGGATAAACATGTGTGCATGTTTGCATACAGCAAAACCGTATTGTAGTTGTGTTGGTGAAGTACATAGGGTGGGCGGGGCGGTCCACAGTCTTGAAGCAAGAGAAAAAATGGGGCTGGGCTAGTACAAAACATGACACGGTGCCATGGCATACCCTTTGGCATAGACTATGGCATCCCCTGTGCCATAGGCTGTAGGACACAATTTGAAGTCAGATCTCTGCAGATTTATATGCCTCATATGAGATCAAGTTCTGCACAAAATCCGATTTCAAAAATGGCTGCCGGTTTCAAAATGGCCACCATTTTAATGTCAATTTTCCTTTCTTTAGACAGAACATATAAAACTGCAATATTAATATTAATATTATATTGGAAATTAAATTAAAAATCGCATTTTCAAAAAATCACATTTGAAAAATAGAGGCCGTTACACGCTATTTCACAATTTTTGCCTTATCTGGAAAATCAGGATTTTTACATTTTTGATATGTTAATACTGATGAGCATGATACACTTTTCAATGACAACTTGGCTAGTGAGCGGCCATTTTGAAAAATGTCTGTCATTTTTATGCTTGTAATTGCACAGACTATGGTATCTCCTGTGCCAAAGGCTCTAGACACTATTTCGAGTCAAAATCTTGCTGATTGTAGTACTCATGTAAGAACAAGTTAAAATCGTCAGCTTTGGAGAACTTGAACTCACATAATGCATGTAAATCTGCAAGAATTTGGCTAGAAATAGTGTCCCAGAGCCGACAGAGCAGGTGCCATAGCCTTTGCCATAACATGCATTGAAATGGCGGCCATTTTTCAAAATGGCCACTCACTTTCCAAATTGTCATTAGAAAGTGTACCCATTATGCTTATGAGGAGACACATATCAAATATGAACAGCTCAACTACCTTTTCAGATACAGCAAAAATCATAAAATAGCGTGTGCCACCAATTTTGGCTGTCATTTTGAAACTAGCGGCCATTTCCAAAAATTTATTTTTGCGAAAACATGTACTCGTATGAGACATATAAATCTGCAAGAATTGGACTCAAAATAGTGTCCTAGAGGCAATGGCAAGGGGATGCCATAGCCTATGCCATAGGGTATGCCATGGCATCGTGCCATGGCAGCGAGCCATATTTTGTACTAACCCGAAAAAATGTCATTAAGTTTCCAAATATGTCATTGAAATTCCGAAATATATGTTCAAAAGGTTCCGTAAAATCATGAAAACAACTCGTTTGACTTTCACATGGTACTACTAGTTGTCATTAGGTACTCTATAATGAAGTAGTCGTAGTTTCACTAAAAAAAAGAAAAAAAGTAGAAGTAGTTTTACTTACGGTCTTGGGCGAAAACGGCAGCTGGTAAAATCGCCAAAAGAAGTAGCGGAGACAAGTTGCACCTCATCATCCCACTTTCCTGGTTTGACTGAACATACAGAGAATTTTTATTTGCGACCTGACACCAAATTATCTTGCCATCATCTACACAAGCTCACGCATCGATAGTATTACACTGTGCGATTCGTACAGACCTATCCATCAATGTTACTCAACTAATAAAAACGATTAATTAAATTGATAACATTGTCATAAAACAATGGTAGACTCGTATGTCAAGACAAATGTTGTATTGTACAGTTCGCTTCTTTGAACAGCGACTGTCACCCGACATTCCCGACAGTTGTAAACTCACAATTATCCCCCTTGAAGATAGAAAAATATAATCTTTTCAATAAATATACAAATATATATCACCAAACCTGTGTTGGTGATATATGATGAGCAATACCAACGTACACAATCAATATGATGTGTAGTTTCCAGTCTGGTCGATGTGTGTCTGATCACATTGCCATTATCAAGTTAGCCTAGCATTTTCGCAAAAAGTTGACAAACATTTGGAAAATGTCCATGTATAAGGAACATTTTCGTTTTGAAATAGGCCTCTTTAGGAAATTATACTTTCAAAATGTGAAAATATTAACAATTAAATTAATTATAGCTACAAATGAAATGAAATAAAATGATCATAAAAATTATTTTAAAAGTCTCACCATGCAGTTACACGTTTTTGATAAAACTTGAATGTGAACGTGCAGAATTGCGGTTTAGGGATTCCATGTAATAGACCTTTCCAATAAATCCTAATCTCTATTTGTGAACCAAGGAAACTAGGGTATATTGGCTAGATTTATGATGTCATACTTCACAGGCAGTAATGTTTGCGAACAAAATTGAAAGAAGTTTTCAAAAATTAGCAATATTTTAATCCTATTTCTGCACTGAAATTGTAAGAATGACATCATAATCAATAGCTGGCATGATTTACCGGATTGGTCTATTTTTTCCTTGGTAGTAGTTTTTTGTACAATTGACTATAAAGTCAAGGAAAATAGTTGTAATGAGGTCATTGGAAAAGACTATTGAGGAGAAGACAGTAATCCATGAGAGTCATAATATTAAACGTCCATGTTCAAGTTCTATTAAAAACGTGTAACTTGATCTCCTTGATATTCTCGACTTTTAAAATAATTTTTATGATCATTTTATTTCATTTCATTTGTAGCAATAATTAACTTCTGCTATGAACAAAATCACCTGCCCATAGGTCCAACATCACTCACATTATAATATATAATACTTTCAATCAAAATATATTATTGATATTTAGTGCTCGAATTCGGCCACATATACAGCAGTCATTGTCGAGGGTAAATGAGCTATCTGCAAAATTACACTTTATGGAATAGAGTCAATAGATCATGTTCGCCTAACCCTATTTAACATTATTACATTAAGTACCGTATGAACAAGCTAACGCTTGGAGTTGAATTGGAAACTTTTATTGATATTTTTTACATTTTTTAAATTTCATTGTAAGATAGAAGATCGAAGTTCAAAGGAGATTTGCTGCTCAAATGGGTGCAGTTTTTGAGCATCATATCCCACAGTGAGTTTTGGTTCATGATCACGAATACTAGTATTTGCTTATTTTCTTATGTGATTGAGATAAAGTATGTTCTTAAATATGATTGTAATTTCAGTTGAAAGGAGCACGTAGGTTATCGCAAACAATTTCAAATGATTCTAACTTGAATTATGAATATTTTCTGATCATAAACATGGGTGTATCTTTTAGATCCATTCATTATCTTCAAGAAAAGTATATATAATGATAATTTAGTTAATCAGACCTTAGTGATATTGAAGGGGCAATGGACCAATCAACATACTTTTTCAAATATGTTGACCTAATTTTCACCAAAAATGCAACCTATTATTATATTGTTGAATGCATAATTAGAATGTGCTTTGAGACATGCTCGATTTCCTAAAAGGAAAATTTGATTGCTCCAGGGACTTTAAAGATATTCAATTTGGATGACCAAAATGAACTGAAATCAATGGATAGGATGAGATTTTTCAATGGAGAAATAACATGGGGAACACTTATCTTAATGCAATTAGGTTTTTCTTTCAAGAACTATTTGATACATCAAAATAAAGAATAGTAATGCATTAAACATTGTAAAAAATGATTGCATGTTTGGTGAAAATGGGGTCAACATCTTCAAAATGGGGTCAAAAAGTGTGTTGATGGGTTAATTGCTAGTTAAATATCTCCGAGTTTGTTTGAATTTATTATTACTGTGCATAATTTTCTTTGAGATAATGAATTGAACTAAAAGGTAAACTTGTCTTCATTGTCAGAAAATAGTCATAATCCAAGATAAAACTTTCTGAAATTGTTTGCGATAACCCACGTGCTCCTTTCATTCAAATCCTTGCTCAGTCCAAGTTCGATTTGCCACATTCGTCCGGGAAAAACTTAGAGTTTTTGACGGAGCTTTGGTATCTCCTGTTTGAGCTTGTTAGACACCAAACGCATTATTCTGTCTGTCAGTGCGTCGACATCAGCGCCGTCATCACTTGTCGCTGTGGATACGAACGGCTCATCTTCGTCATTATAAGCACGTGCACTGAAGGTTTCGTCTTCCGGCTTATCTTCGTCATTATTAGCGCGTGCACTGAAGGCTTCGTCTTCATCATCATTTGTAACCTCAACCACTGATTCATCGTCATTTGTAACCTCAAGTACTGCTTCGTCATCTTTACTAATTCGGAATTTCTCCAATAAGCCATTGAACTTGGTAGTAAATGTTTTGTCGACCTTCAAACAGTACTTGCTATCCTCATGAACTGGGACCCGATTACCGAGCCATTCTATAATCCCTCCGTCACCAGCAACATTCGGGCTAAATTCCACTGTATTACTTATAGAGCCTGGAGTGACAAGATATGCAATATACAGTAAATTGTCGCGACTAAAACATACTCCAACCACTGCCTCAGATTTGTTCTTTAAAATCTCTCCGTTCGTTACATGCATGAAGAACTTTCATCAGCATTTATTTATTCAATTTGAAATCCCAAATTCGTAATATTATACAGGCTTACCCATAATGCCTCCAGCCGCATCCCCAATGTGTTTAGACTGGGTCAGTCCAAAGTTCAAGAACGGGTGCTTCTTGGCAAACCCTCTTCGGATCACATTGATTTTCGTTTCGCCTTCATTCAATATAAAATCTGCTCGTTTACGTGTCATATTGATGTACCCGTGTGGAACAGACACGGTTCCTATGTTCCACTTCACATTTCTGGGCTCTTGTCCTGGTTCTTTGATAACAACACTAGAAGGACTGAAGTGGATGTTAACCCCGCTGTAGTCCACGTCCAAGTCGCTCACAAAGTCAACACGGTTTTCACCATCTTTAGCGTTAATAAACGTTGTCGAAATGTCTGAAAATAAAGAAAACTCAAAATTGCAAGTTGCAAGAACATTTTTTCAAATTTCTCTGAACGTGAATAGGTCTCTCCATGGAATAAAATGTATTTACTTTCAGTGTCAATGTCATTAATGTAAAATAAATGAATCATTTAATCTTTTTGGTGATAATCTAAGTTATGTATGGTTATTAATATTTCTCTTAGGACGAATTTGACAGCTTTTAGCCCTTTACGTTACATTGGTTACTCACGAAAATCCCCATCGTTAAGGAATGCATATCGTTCTCCAGGAACGCCGACAAAGTCGTAACAAAACCATCTGTCAGAACCCTTGACGGACTGCTTCACATGTGGATCTCCGCAAACCATCAAGCCAGCCTTATTTGTGACACAGAGGTGTTTATTCTTGTATTTACTGGTGCAATCATTTTCGGCCTGACACTCATGACATTTGCAATCCGTGGTTTTACACAGAGGATATTTAGTAGGGCACATGGTGTTGGAGATACACTGATGTCCCGGTCCATACGCAGAACCTGTTGCATAAAATGATACATAAGCCTATTTATTAATTCGAAGTCTCCGTTCCATTTTCAAATATAAATTCCTCATTTTGAAAATATACCTTTTGAGAAATCTTTAGGTCCAATGTTAAAAAATTACGACACGTTGCTTTATGATTGAAAAAATTAAATGATATGCATGAAATGTTCACTAGGATCAAAGAATCTTTCATCTTTCAATCTCAATATCAACTGCCACAATTTTTCAACTTTGGAAGTCTATGTGTTGTATAGTAGTAGTATTTTTAGTAGTATTTTTATTTATTCATGTCTCACGCACTAAAACAGATACTGTTACATAATACTACTTTAAAGCGATACATGAAAATTAAACAGTGTCTGGTCCATGCCGTCCAATGGGTGACAGTGGAATGTTATATTATGTTTTGCAGTTTGACTTGCTTTTTATTACTGTTTTACAAAGGTGTTCGTTGAACGGTCTTCATTCATTATTAAACAGTATTTCACTAAACCTGTTTGCATTTAAAGCCATTAATAATTTAACATTTTGAGACTATAGACTATATACAGACTATATATGTTGGCCTTAAGTGAATCACTTTGGTTTTATTTTTATTAAGCGTTTGCCCACTGGGAACATCAGGCGTTTAAGATATGGTCATACTGAGTAGTAATTGCAATTTAGTGGGTGTAGGTGCAATTAGCGCAATGTCATAATATATGAGTATTCATACTGGCAAAATTATTTTTCCAAAAAGGAGTGAACCCAATAATTCCCTGCAAATCTCAAACTAGTGTACCCACGCCGGCTTTTAATTACTACTCTTCGTTCCCTCCTCCCTTCCTTCAATTTTTCCTCCATTCCTACCTACTCTCCTTCCCCTCCTGCCTACTTTCTTACAATGACATTCCTCCCCACCCCACATCCTTACTTTCTCCCATACTTCATTTCTTTCTAATTACTTCCTAACCCCCTATCACACCAAACTAGTTCTTACCCGTTCTTGCCAGTCCTACGGAAACGTCGTAAAACGGGCTCAATCTGGCTGTGGTCGGGAAATATGTCTAAAATAATTAGCTACTTTGTTCATAAACAGTCTTCAATACGTCCATCTCATTCGCAGTTCGTTCAGGTCGCACCACGTCGGTGTGCAACGTCGTATAACGCGTCCCTTAGTCTAGAAGGTCATCATGACCTGATTACAGAACGGTATGGTCGCCATCGAATTTTGAATCATTTCAAAATTCTAAAGTCACCTTCCCGTCTGAGAACGTTCATGAAGTTCGTAAATAGTCCTTAGAAAGTTACAGGTACGTTAATTTCGTTCGCACACAGTTTAAAACCAGTTTTGAAGAACGCAGTGGCAACTTGTTTGGTGTGATAGCTATATTTTTGCTAACTCGTTCATAAGCAGTCTTTAATACGTTCTTAATCAGTTTAAACCCGTTTGCAATTAGTTCTACCTCGTTCTCAATACGTCCTCAGACAGTTCAACTCGTTGTAAAAACATCCTTAGTAGGATTGAAGTACGACGGTTCCGTTCGTAGTACGTCCAGCTCGTCGTTAGTACGTTGTCACTCGTTCTAATTGTAGAACATGACGACCACGAGAGCATTTTGAGCATGTTCTAAGTTCTAGAGGACCTACCCGTTCAAATATGTTCGATGAAGCTTGTAAATAGACTCCAAGAGGTTCTAAGTACGCCCAGTCCGTTCGTAAACAGTTGAAGCCCGTTTTCGAGAACGTAGTGAAAACTAGTTTGGTGTGATAGTAAGGTTAGCTTCATTCTTTTCTTCCTTCATAATTCCTTACTTCCATCCTTTCTTACTTACTTCCTCACCTCCTTCCTCCCTCCCTTCTTTCTTTTCTTCCTTCTCACTTACTTTCTTCTCCACTTATTTCCTTTATTACTACCTCTATTACTTTCTCTACTTGTTCTTGCTTGCTTACTTACTTAATTGTAGATTAACTTGGTAATCTCGTTATGTGGAAATCTAAGATGCGCAATCTGACACAAACTAATGCATTAGCTGCATTTTTTCTCATTAACGATATCACTCACAATACAGTACCAACAAAGAGTTCTAAAATCCAAGCCAGATGTCCAGTTTAAGAACTCCTATTCGTATATTATTAATGGATTCTAGCAGTACCATTCAACATGAATCCTACTTGTTTATGTTGAGACTCGATCAACTTGAGTTCTGAGAAAATGGAGGTTTCAGCGAGGGCGCATTGATTTAACACGGGGACATACAGTACACCATTGACCATTACCATCGGGATGCCATCATGTATGTCACCGTGTCTTTGCACCCTTGCTGAAATCCACAACTCAAGCTGATTGAATCTCAACAAGTACATTTATGTGGGATAGTATTGATAGAATCCATTCTCAATAGTAAGAATAGAGGTTCTTAACAGGACATTAACTTTTTACTAAGGCCTTTTTGAAATGTTTTTCAAGTACTAATAAGACGTTTCGTATGGCAAGTATTGAAAATACATATTTTGAGGAAAACCTGGAAACGAACGAACGATGAACGAACGGACGGACGGACGAACGCAAGAACGAACGAACATACGATCCGACGAAATATCGTATCCCCAGATAGGTAGAGTGACAAAGACACATATAAGAATTTTATCACAACGCTGACAGATGGAGCAAACTGCCTGAAGATAAAATGCAGAAGAAATATTTGCGATGTTGTCATAGAATGATATGTATGATTGTTATTACGTTATTAGCACATTCGTGTACGTTCTTATTAAAGAAGCTCAATATATAATGAAATAATATTATAATGAAGTCTTCCTCGCGATCGAAGCGGGTACTCGTAAAATCTGCTCGCGTTTTATGCGGGACCTCCTCATGTTTTCAGCGGGACCTCCTAATATTTCCAGCGGGGCCACTGGGACACCTTTAATGATGTATTTTGACCCCCATGGTAGATTCAATCATAGTAACAATATCAATTATGGACTATAAAAATCGTATTTATTGTATTTATTTTTAAGATTAAAGTAATATTATGAACAATGAATTATGTTAACGAGCATGTTGACGCAAAAGTAAAGTAAACGTTATTTTCCTGAACCGCGTCCATTTAATATTAATATGCAGGCCCGTAAGACACTTTTCTCCAAGGGGGGTGCGGTTTTTAGCTTACTAAAGAGAATATAAAATTGTCATTTTTTTGCCGCGTAAATCAAATCGCGTAAGACAGAGGGGGGGGGGGTCAGTTACTCCCTATATTGATTTGGAATTAACAAATGCAACTTCCAAATGTTCCAATTGTTTTGTGGGGGGTGTGAGGAGTGGTCCACTCCCCCTAGAAAATTTTACAGTTTTGAGATGCTATTTGGTGCTTTCTGGACACCTTCATAGTGTAAGTTTCTAAGTAGTACGCCACCACCACGGGAATAAGAGTTGAGTGAATAAAAAACCTAGCATTCAGGGGGGTCTGGGGGTTCTCCCCCAGGAAAATTTTGAAATTTGGTTGTATTTGGAGCGAATTTGCAACCATCTGGTACGCCTGTGCGTTATGAGTCAATAAGAAAAATGTGAATTTTTTTCAAATTCTTTTGGGGTTGTCAAAGAGGATGAGAGGGTGAAGTTGGGTGGGGTGCCAGTAGGGGAGCAAGGGGTTGTCCCCCAGAAACATTGACCATATCAAGGTGCTATTTGATGATGTCTGGGCACTTAAAAAATGTCTGAGACAATACATGAAATTCAGAATATTTTCTTTTGTTTTGTGGGGGATGTGAGGGGTGGCTAACTATCCTAGAAAATTTTACAATTTAAAGATGATATTTGGTGCTTCTGGGCACTTTTAAAGTGTATTAGTCAATAAAAACATTGAAAAACAATCACAATTTTTTTCACATTTTGGGGGTGTCAAAGGGGGGAGGGGTAGACAGAGGGGGAGGTGGGGCTGGGGTGCCAGAGGGGGAGCAAGTGTTTGTCCCCCATATCAAAATTTACAATATCAAGGTGCTATTCGATGAAGTTTGGGCACTTTTAAAGTGTCTGTGCCTAAAAGTGCCTATTTCCCAAGAAAATTTTACAATTTTAAGGTGCTATTTGGTGCTTTCTGGGCACTTTCAAAGGGTATGAGTCAATAAAAAAAATTTGAAAAATCTCAATTTTTTTGGGGGGGGGTGGTGTTAAGGGAGGGGGCTGCCAGAGGGGGAGGTGGAGTGGGGATGCCAGAGGGCGAGTAAGTGTTAGTCTTCCAGAATCATTAACTTTATCAAGGAGCTATTTGATGATGTCTGGGCAATTTAAAAGTGTCTGAGACAATACATAAAACAAATTCAGAATTTTTCCTTGTTTTGTTTTTGGTGTGAGGTGTGGCCCACTTCCCTAGAAATTTTACAACTTTACGACGCTATTTGGTGCTTTCTGGGCACTTTCAAAGTGTATGAGTCTATGAGAATTTAAGAAAATCACAATTTTTTTTTGGGGGGGGGGTCAAGGGGGGGGGGTTGCCAGAGGGGGGGGGGTATGCAAGTGCAAGATGCAAGAGGGGGAGTAAGTCCCCCAGAAAAACTTACTATATCAAGGAGCTATTTGATGATATCTGGGCACTTTAAAAGTGTCTGAGACAAAACTCTAAAATAAATTTAGAACTTTTCCATTGTTTTGTGGGTGGTGTGAGGGGTGGCCAATACCCCTAGAAAATTTTACAATTTTAAGATGCTATTTGGTGCTTTCTGGGTACTTTCAAAGTGTATGAGTCAATGAAAAAAAAATACAAAAAAAATATTTTTCAAAAAAAAAATTTTTCAAATTTTTTTTCAAATTTATTTTGGGGGGTGACAAAGGGGGGTGCGGTCGCACCCAACGCACCCCCCCATCTGACGGCCCTGATATGTACATGCAGGAATAACAGAAATAAAGAAAAAATCACACTATCAAATGAATGAAACATATTTGGATGCCTACCTTTTGCCAGAAGAAGCATTAAGTGCTGCAAGAAAGCCCTCAATTTCGTAAAGTAGAACACACTTGAGATTACTTTATTTTTCAACTGAACATCATTGCCGCCAACCAATGCAGCGTGTACACGATTCAGGAATGTAATATCAGCCGTCGCCTTGTTAACCTTTACTGTGAAGAATTCATGCGCCTGGTGAAATTGTAGACAAGAATAAGTTTTGAATGTAGCTCTAGTACATCCATTTCCAGTTAGATAACCCCTCCATGTATTAGCAGCCACCCCATTTGCCCCATACTCGAATGCAAGTGTTGCACCATCGGGTAGGTTTTGCAGTGTCGTACCAACAATATCTGCTTGACTATAGGCGATAAAGGATGCAATGTCACTCTTCAACTTACTTTCAATTTCGCACCAATCCTCATCACCTGAGAGTAAGAAAAAAGCAGTTGTTATGTTAAATTCGAACATGACTGTATTCACGCCTTCTATTAACTGTAAACAAAGTCAATGCTTCTGCTGGGTTATATTCGAGATCAAATCCTCGGCTCTGTACTAAGTGTTCGTTCAGTGCACTCAGTGGAGTTCAGGCTGTTCCATTCTTTTCCGTTCTTTTCGCAGTGATTACTCCGTCATATGGATATCCGCCGTGATGTTTCTGATTTTGGGCAATATAGAATTAATTTCAATAATTATCAATGTAGTAGATATGCGTGAAACCAATAAAATAGTCCGAAGTGTCAATAAAAAAACTTAAGTCGGGGTCAAGAGGTAAGTAAACAAATTGGAACAGCCAAACGCTCAACCGGAAATGAAAAAATGACGATTTTGCATTATTCTGGAGAGTTTTCATGTTAGAATCGTAATATAGACCTCAGAACAGGGGTACTAGTTTCGAATACCCCCCTTAGGTCTCGGCACAAAAGCTTTCGAACCCCTCACTCTCTTCGGTCGTTCGGAGTACAGAAAACGTTTGTGCCGAGACCAGCGGGGTGTATTCGAAACTAGTTCCCCTGCTCTTCGGTGTATATTTCTTAAATAATAACAAATTGATTTAATTTTGCAATATTTCGATTTATTAAATCTTTTTCAATCAACTTGAGTTGAGTTGCTTGAAAAAGATTTAAAGAATGAATCGAAATATTGCAAAACTAAATCAATTAGAGAGTAAGAGAAGAATCTTTAATAGACCATATAACTTGAGCCTGGTACTGAAACCCCACAGTAGTGAGTTGAAATCCTAATTGTATATCGCAGTTTCGTTAGAGTTTTGCACAATATCTACTCAATCTACTCTATTTTATTATTTTACATGAAATTTATTACATTTAATAATACCACTGACGTGTTTTTAAAAAAGAACGCGCAAGAATCGTGAACGGAGTGTATGTGATCTAAAAACTTCATCGAAACAGCGTTAAAATGATATATAATATAACTTTAATTAGAATATTATCTTATAATCCGGGGAATCAAAGTTACATTCACGCGATACCCTTAAAAAACAAACGCGCCACCTTTTTGCGACACGTCACTCAATTTCTGCATATACAATTTCAGGACCATAAATAAAGCACGCACGGCCCAGAGATTTATACAAAATTTGAACCAATGGGCAGATATGGCGTCATTAAATTGAATTGACTAAATGTGAATGCCTTGATGGGCTGAAATTGTTCGAGCACTCTTTGTCCTTGCAACTGTTGGTTACAGTGTAGGTTATGTAATTACATGTACAACGAATTTATTTTTGATCAAAATCTATAGTACTTATAAAGTTTCCTTTGCAGTTATGCATTGCTTAATACTCTTAATTCTTAAATACATTATTAAAGAATCTACCTTTATCACAGGTGCACTTGGCGCAGTTACAAACGGGTATTACAGAAGCGCCATTCGCCTCTTTCGAGCCATCGCTGTTGCATACGAAGTTGATGTCGTAAAAGTAGGCTTGACGGCAATTAGCACACTGCGTACAAGGAATAGCTAAAAATAAGAATATATCAATGGATCTTTGAAATTTCTACTGGAAAAGCAAATCCTTCTCCATATACTTTGTAATCAGTTTTCTTGATTAATTTTATAAAAATAATCATTTGCGCATGTTTTCATACAATAAAAACGTATTGTAGTTGCGTTGGTGTACATTTGGTGAAGAGAAAAATATAACTTTCCAAAGTGTCATTGAAATTCCAAAATATATTATGATCAGTTAAAAAGACAACTCTAACAAAATCTTCATTCTGTAGAGGCGATTGTACGCTAATAGAATGAAGATTTTGTTAGAGTTGTTAAAAAAACGGAAAACAGCTAATTTGACTTTCACATGGAAGTTGCTATTAGGTACCCTATCATGAAGTAGTAGTGTTACTTACGGTCTGACTCATCGGCGAAAACGGCAGCGGGTAAAATCGCCAAAAGAAGTAGCGGGGACAAGTTGCACCTCATCATCCCAGTTTCTTGGATTGACTGAACCTACAGAGAATTTCAATTTGCTGCCTGACACCCAATAATCTTGTCATCATCTACACAAGCTCACGCATCGATAGTAATACACTGTGCGATTCGTACAGACCTGTCCATCAATGTTATCAATTAATAAAAACGATTAATTAAATTGATAACATTGTCATAAAACAATGCTAGACCAGTATGTCAGGACAAATGTTGTATTGTACAGTTCGCTTCTTTGAACAGCGACTGCCCTGTCACCCGACGTTCGTGACAGACATAGTTGTAAATTCAAAATCATTTCAAATGAAACTTTTCAAAAATACAGGGTGTTCAGTAAATAAATATAATAATGTTTATTCATGGATTTCAATAAAATTTGCAGGGATTATAGTTTAAACATATTTAAACTTACCTTTTGGAGTTTCAGCTTCAAGCGATTTGATTTGTCATTTCTGTGGTTGGCATAGCAACGTGAGTAGCGCTAAGGCGGGGCACATGGAATAACTGCAGTTGTTTCTGTGTAACATTTAGCGCATGGTAAACCGATTTTGGCTCCATGATAAAATTCTTCTATTGTTTTGTTTTATGATGTAAAAGTCAAATAAATGCTTTTTAATGATATTCAATGGGATTTTAATGACTTAGCCTATGCAGGCATTAGAAAAAAAGCGACCTGGGATGCAATTTCTCTTTTACTTGGACAGTTCCCATACTGCTGCCATAATCACTAGAGAAATTGATACAGATGAGATTAGAGCAACTCAAGCATCCACTTTATTCACCCAACCTAGCGCCAAATGATTTATACTTCTTTACTGAATCAAAACGGGACTTAAGAGGTCATGCATTTGAGAATACTCATGCTATACATTCACATGTGTTAAACAGACTTCAGGATACGAGCCAAGAAGAATTCTGTGAAGTATTTGAAGAAGGTTCAAGAGGCAAAGAGTTTGTGTCTAAAATGGAGGAAATTATGTAGAATAAATTGATAAACTGGCAAAGAATTTCAGGCTTATAGTTATAACTACGTTTAAGCACCCATTTTAAGTCATAAACATGATAGAATCTCTTTTTAAAACATTGAAAACATGCAAATATACTGCAGTTATTCCACCTGCCCCGCCTTAGCGCTACTCGCGTTGCTATGACAACCACAGAATCAACCAATCAAATTGTCTGAAGCTGAAACTCCAACAATAAGTTAAAATATGTTAAAACTATAATATCTGAGACTTTCAATGCAATCCATGAACAAATAAAAAAGTTATGACATATTATCTTTTATTCCTGAACACCCTGTATATAAATAAATATCACCAAAGCGGTGTATTCGTACTATATCCCGTAGCATTCCTTGGAATACACAGGTTTTCTTTACATAAATAGATACTACGACATGCAAAATGCATAGATACGTTAAGTCCAACGTACACCACTGGGCACAGAGGGTCATTCGTAGACTTGGAAAGGATCCCGACCCAGGCCCAAGATATCCCATTAAGTCGAACTTGATGAATATTTTTATCTTTTATCCATGGTAACGGCACATGTTTTCAAAGTAAGTATCTATCATATATTACAGGTCAATATCTCAGCTTTCCAACGGTACCAAATTACTCGCCTAAACGTCCCATGTCCCATTTATATTTTATGCCTTGACATATACCACCAGGGTCCCTTAAGCTGATAAGCCTGTTGTTTTTCGTTATTCGTTTTTCATATTTTAATTTAGTGAATATGAATGTCTGGACGCCATTTTGAGCAAATGGGCATGTAGGTAATACTATGAGAAACAATACCATGATACACGATCAACCTGATGTTGGCTAAGTGTTAATAGAAGATATTGTCAACTGATGCACATGATAATGAGGAGCAGAGGCCGCCAGGAACAGAGGACAGTGTGCTGTACGATGCTGACTAATTATATAGAAGATATTGTTCACTGTTGTGCGTGATAATTAAAGGAACGGACGAAAGTGTGCTGTATGACGATGTTGACTAATTATATAGAAGATATTGTTCACTGTTGTGCGTGATAATTAAAGGAACGGACGAAAGTGTGCTGTTTGACGATGTTGACTAATTATATAGAAGATATTGTTCACTGTTGTGCGTGATAATTAAAGGAACGGACGAAAGTGTGCTGTATGACGATGTTGACTAATTATATAAAAGATATTGTTCACTGTTGTGCGTGATAATTAAAGGAACGGACGAAAGTGTGCTGTATGACGATGTTGACTAATCATATAAAAGATATTGTTCACTGTTGTGCGTGATAATTAAAGGAACGGACGAAAGTGTGCTGTATGACGATGTTGACTAATCATATAAAAGATATTGTTCACTGTTGTGCGTGATAATTAAAGGAACGGACGAAAGTGTGCTGTATGACGATGTTGACTAATTATATAGAAGATATTGTTCACTGTTGTGCGTGATAATTAAAGGAACGGACGAAAGTGTGCTGTATGACGATGTTGACTAATTATATAAAAGATATTGTTCACTGTTGTGCGTGATAATTAAAGGAACGGACGAAAGTGTGCTGTTTGACGATGTTGACTAATTATATAGAAGATATTGTTCACTTTTGAGCATGATAATTAGGAACAGACGAAAGTGTGCTATAATCATATAAAGGACATAGGCTATAAATTATATACCCTCTGTATCAAAAGTCTTTTCCTATTAAGGAAAACCTCAAATAATTTTTGTAAATGGCAAGTAAAGGCATATAATACACACTATCCGGAAATTTTAAGACAATTGATTAATTTTTACACATAATATTACATACAGAACATAGCATATACCAAAAACACTGATGTGACTTTTTCCAAGTTTGTGACGTCAAACTTACTCAAACTTAGCCAAAGTCTGGCTGCTCTGTAAAACTAAGCGGACAAAGGCATTCATAATTTGTATATAAAATGCCAATTATGAGCAATCAGAATATGTTATAGACTTAAGAAATATAGACCGAAGAGCAGGGGTTATATTGTCGAATATACCCCGCAGGGCTAGGCACAAATGTTTTCTGTAGCCTTTCGAAAGCCTTTGTGCCTAAGGTCTATATTACGATTCGAACATGAAAATTCACCAAAATGTTCCGAATATTCATTATGGTCCGCCATTACTACGACCTGCCGTTATGACGTCACACATTACACGTATTACCAGGGGTATTCTTCGCGAATACACCCCGGTGAAATGTTGAATTTGTTTACAGTTTATAGAAGGCGTGAATACAGTCATGTTCGAATCTATAATATAGACTCGGCGTGTCCGTTGCCATGTTGTTGATGTTTATATACCAGTGATGTCACAAGTAAATCTCATCTTGCACGTGTGACTTTTTAGGATGAAAGATGGCAATATCTTGCATGGGGTAAAGATGGCTGTATTCTTTGTTAGTCATATGAGAAAGCTGTATAATAACAATGCAAAAGTCCTTACACCTGTGTCTTATAACAATGTTGCCTAAATGTTCATTGTTATGTAGTATTCCCTAATACTTACCCCTTTCCTGCATCAATTAATATTTTGTGACTAATGTGTCAATTTGATTTTCTCACGGGTTTCTCTTCTAAATATTCTTGATGTAATTGTTGTATTTAATTCAAACGGATCTATCATATTTTCATTTTATTGCAATAATTCTGAATCACAATGCATCGAACATTGACATATTAATGATAGCAGTGCTTATTGTGATGACCTATATCTGAATTCTTCAAATATTTTTGGGCAGGAAAGGGTTAAGTGTAATATAACATGGTCTAGGGCTGTTAATAAAATGTATTCGGACATCCAGAGTAATAATTAGCATGTTATATATAAAGACCGTTGTCTGCGTACTTTTACAGCGCAACCTGATTTAAAGTGATTTTGGTCAGTTTGGCGATCCGAGGTAAGTTTGACGTCACAAAGTTGGAAAAAGTCACATCGGTGTTCTAGGTATATGCTATGTTCTAAATGTGATATTTTGAGAAAAAATTAATCAACTGTCTCCAAATTTACACAGAAGGTGTATTATATGCCTTAAATTATGTGTAAAAAGTCTCATCACGTTAACTTGCCATTTACAAAAGTTATTTGAGGTTTTCCTAAATAGGAAAAGACTTTTGATACAGAGGGTATATAAATTATTGTATTCTTATCTGGGGAACAGCAACTAAAGCTCTATTGTTTCAAATTCTGAAAGTACAAAAAAGATTCTTAAGACTAATTACAAACAGTGTTAGAACAGACGATTCCTCTCTACAATTTAAGAAAATAAAGATACTTAAATTTAGAAGATATTCACAAGCTAAATGTTGGTATTTTTGTATTTTTAAAATTGTCTCAAATGGGTGTCAGTTGCCTGTACACTGAACATTGATATAATTGATGAATGAACAACTATGCTAACTGTATGCAAACTGTACATTGTCAACTGGTGTACATGATAATGAAGAACGATCAACAGTGTGCCATGTACAGGGTGGGCCAATAAAAATTGGAACATTTTTCTGTTTATTCAATAGTCTTTATTTTTTCAGTACAATCCATGAAAATTCAGATTATGGTAGAATGATTATTTGTGAAAATGTTAAAGATAAAAACATGTATGTATGATTATTTCTGTCGTGTCATGGTCATGATCTGTTTTCTGCGTGCGCGTGAAAAATTTCCAAATTTTCTCTGCTTGAGACATCACTGCTGAAAATACAGTATCTTTCATACCATACAATATGCACCCTTCAGATGGTCTCAACACAATTTCCATCAATTAAAACATATGTAGTTATCTCTAGGGGAAGCATTATGTCTCCCTTTGATACTGTCCCCAGGTCTGATTTCGGTGATCGGCTAGTAAAAAAGGTTTGAGGGTATCATTTTGTTCCAGACACTCTCTAGAGTAAATTATCCTAACTTGAGTAAAAATGTGTGGTAAGTAAATTCGTTGTGGGCAGTTAAAGAGGCGCCATCTATTCATTTTCAAACAGGGGGTAGGGGTATAAAATAATTTTTAACACATTTTAATAGTAAAATGACATTGAAATACTAATAAACACGGGGTACCATCGAATAATTTTGGCAACGTACCGGAGAACGACATTTTACTAAGAAATGGCAATAATTTAGCCCAATATATTTTTTAACTAGAGTTCTATTTTGATTTTGACAAAAGTAAGTATTCCATGCAATAACTATTTCATTCATGAGTTTGTAGGAATTCTGTTGGAACCCAGTTCTGATCAAGTACGAAGTTATTGAAATTGGCGCAGACGGACTTTACTCCGAAAGATGGTTTTTCGATTATAACTTTTCACAACATTTCAGTATAGACTTTTGAAAAAAGTACAGAATAGTCCTTATACTTTTGAATAATTCTGTTATTTCTGATTCACACGACTCTGATTTGTTTAATTAAAAAAAAAGTTTTAAAAATATTACTTAGGAACGTAACCGGAGCTGGGAACGTAACCGGAGCAGATCAGTTGAATTATTTAATCAAAAACATAAAATATATGATTTAAAGCACATATACTAATTTAAAAACATACGGGATTGTTCGAATGCGTATTTGTTACATTTTATTTAAAGAAAAAAAATTATCCATTGTGAAAAATTAAATTTGGTATTTACCATGCATAAGTGCACTTACCTTAGAAAGGCTATCAAACATAGAACAATCAATCCCTGATTATGAATATGCATTTATGCTGTAACTGTAAAAATATAGTGAAATAAAGGGGAAAAAAAAAAAAAAAAAAAAAAAAAAAAAACATAGAACAATCATTGTATGGAGAATGAAGTGATTAAATGTAGTAAGCAAATAATTCCATTTGATTTCACCCATTGTATTTGTTCAGCGAACTATTAGAACCCACTCTGTTATACTAATTTCGTATATATATACTGTTTATACATACATGTATTATACTTCTAAGACAACTTCACTTTTTCAGGGAAAATAAAAGCATTTAAATGCTAGATTATTAAAAAAAGTTAGGATACAACGAACTGTATATAGCGTAGGTGTGTTAAGTACTTGTCATGTGCTCGACCAAATCGAATTAACATATGCTTTCTGAAATTCTTCACCTAACCCCCTCCATATAAACGTAAGATGTTTGAGTGAGTGCCCGTTTATTGTTTTATGCAAAACCAGTTGTTATCCATCTATGTTTCGATAAACCTAGGCGTGGGTCATCAAGCAAGTAAGAAAGTGAATGATTTTTTCTAGTTAAACTACAGAACATTGCTTTTCAGTCGTTAATAGACAGTGTTCTATAATTCTATCACACCAAGTAAGCTGTAAATAACATACATGTATATGCTTTAAATCATATATTTTATTTTTTTAAATTATATAATTCAACTGATCTGCTCCGGTTACGTTCCCAGCTCCGGTTACGTTCCTAAGTAATATTTTTAAAACTTTTTTTTAATTAAACAAATCAAAGTCGTGTGAATCAGAAATAACAGAATTATTCAATAGTATAAGGACTATTCTGTACTTTTTTCAAAAGTCTATACTTAAATGTTGTAAAAAGTTATAATCGAAAAACCATCTTTCGGAGTAAAGTCCGTCTGCGCCGATTTCAATAACTTCGTCCTTGATCAGAACTGGGTTCCAACAGAATTCCTACAAACTCATGAATGAAATAGTGATTGCATGGAATACTTACTTTTGTCAAAATTAAAATAGAACTCTAGTTAAAAAATATATTGTGCTAAATTATTGCCATTTCTTAGTAAAATGTCGTTCTCCGGTACGTTGCCAAAATTATTCGATGGTACCCCGTGATAAAATCTTATCAAAAACATTATTTACAATCAGTATGAATATCTTGAAATTCACTATATATAATATATGTATATGTAGCTGCAGCCTGCAGGGGAGACAGTCAAATCCATAAATTCTGAACTTCTGATTTCATGAATCTCAATAAATATGACAAAACAAGACTATATTTATACCACTCTGGGCACGCATTTGAGATGCATATGTTGCATATCGTGAGAGTTATATCAAGGTGAGATATTAGCTTTTACCAGGGGGGAGCTTTTTTCCAGGGGGGGGGGAGCTTTATCACAATTTTGGCTAAAAATCATGCGAAAAATTCTCAGAATGGTGAAAAACTGCATGATTTTGAAAGAATTTCTGGCCAGGGGGGGAGCTTCCGCTCCAGGCCCTAGGCTAGGGAGACGTACAGTGGCCATTTATTGAGAAACTACAAACTAGATCTTTTTATCTTTTTGCCGCGTTGATGTGTTATTTCGTTCAGTGCAAAAGTAACCCGAGATTTAGAACAAAATCTCGAACATCTCTAGAAAGCAATTTATGTTACATCAAGGTGTGTGATCGGTACATCACGGTGTGTGATCGGCACATCATGGTTTGTGAAGGGAAAAACGTTTGTGCGAGCCGCATAAGCATTTGTTCGACTTGTGTACCCTGTTCGATGTCATTTTTAAACAATGCATACACAAATACGCATGTACAAGTGTGATTTTACAAACATAAAGTGTGCAAACTCGAACCATGGGCTTTCAATTAGAAGGGTATGCAACTCTGTGTTATAACATGAGACCTTCAAAATGAGGAATGTCATGCTTCCCTTTTATTGTAATATTTCAAAAAGTAAAGGATATAAATGTATATGTTTTAGTATTTTTTTGAATAAAAATCAATTTTATAGCATAAAATATATTCAATCTCATGTAAAGGTAAACAAAAAAGACCAATAAGATTAAGAGGTATCAAGATGTTCTCTTCGAGTATTGCATTGTGGGTAATTATTCAAGAACACATTCCAATAAAAATATAATTTGTGGGAGAATGTTCACTTTCTGTATTGTCATAATTATGATGAATTCCATTTTTATTAAATGATCAACATGTATGGAGATAATCATGTTTTTAATTTTGAGTTATTTCTTTAATCATCCATAAAAAGGACAAAATAAGATTTTCTTGGAATGTGTACATTCTCCAATTTTGACCCAAAGGCATTGTGTATGTATTCTGCTGAACGCTATTCTACATGTATGTGTTAGAGATATCACATAAATATAAGATGTCCAATTTTGATACAGTTTTAACACCATACAGTGTGAACATGATATTAATTCAGAGCTTGCAGCATCTCAACTTCGTAAGTTGTTCATGTAACAAGTAGAAAAACTTAGTGACTGTATCCGAAAAGTCATGAGCTGTTAACATCATAGCATTTCAACAATTACAGTGAGGGACAGTAGCCTGCAAAGGGGTGCCGTCTGCATCAGTGCTAGCGAAACCAGCCTTAAAAGGGGTAGGCCTACGGAAATTTATATTGTTTATATAAGTTATTATAAGTTTATATTGTCTGGAGCATTCTAAACTATAATTTGTTAGTGTATTAACTATTTCTATGGAGGTGGGGGTGACAGTTCTTGTTCAAATTTAAGATGTTTGGACTTTTACAGAGAATTGAACACGCTTCTAAACTTACTCCCAACTTAGGCGATACAATATTTAAAGAAAAAACATCCCTGGATTCTTAAAGTCGAAACGTGAAAATACATTTGAAAAGTATTTTAACATAACTGCCAGAAAACCTGTCACCATGACAAGCGTATGATCTAATAACTTATGAACATTTAAAGGACCATGTGAGGCATATCATTGCAAGTGATTTCAGACGGCCATAACTTTCACCATGAGTATTTTCTGGCCATAAATACAGTGGTTTTTATTAAATAATATGTTTTCTTTCAAGTGAAGTCCCTATATGTAAAATATCCACTCTCTGAAAAAATATGGAATGAGACCCCAGGTTGGCACTTTTTAAAAATGTTAGGCTTATTTGCTAAAAAGATGTTCTTAATTTTCTAAATTTAAATATATCAAAAGCTTCTTCTACATTATATTAATAATCCCATGCTATTTTCCCATAAGGGAAACTCATGCTATTCATTTTTCTCAGCATAATTTTGGTCATCGAAAACTGATATCTTCAAAAGTAGACTTTCAAATCATTCTACTTTTATAGGAGTTTTAGATCCCTTGTTGAATAATCTTTTCATGCAATAAAAATCAGGAAAAGAGTAAAAGAGTATTTTTGAGTAAATAGGTTGAACATTCTGGTTGATCAAGAGTGTCTTTTCAAAGTAGAAGTTACGGTGGCCCCAACGGGATTTTCCTTGAAGGTATACAAGTAGTGCTATTATACACAGAGCCTCTTTAGTTTACACGCAGCGCGCATGGCAGTATTCTGTTTTGTTCCTCGAATTACGTGCAATCGCGCGCAGAGGTGTGTGACTTGGTGAAACAAGTATGTTATGTATGTACATGTTATGTACACAAGGCGAACACTGCCGGTCTTGCTGATTATTAAACAATTTTCCATATGACCTTAACTGACTGATGACATAATAACTTGGAACAGCTATTTAAATCCCGGGATTTAAATTGTTCAATTATTTTCCTTTTTAAACTGCGCTGGATTACCTAGTTAACCTCTAATTTGCATAAAACTAGGTGCAACAAGAATTCTCTTAGAAAATGTGAAATGCATCTTATCTTTGTAAGATTATCTTTAAATAAATTGATGAATCCTTATCATGTCTTAAAATGTGCGCTAGTTTTGCTTGCTGTACTTGGACTTTATTTATCAAAATTTGACGAAACATGATGCAACTTTTACAGTCACTAGAAGTAGAAGTTGATCAGAATTGTCAATTGCAATATACAAGGAAAACTAAAAACATGCATATTTTGGTAGAGATAATGAGCTTTCCAATGATACATTTTGTGCAAATTTGCCTTATATGGATATCTCGAGAATTGTATGTTTTGATGTTTCTGAGGGCGAGGTCATTGGCTCGACGACATTGTGGTGACGAGCCCATCTACGTCGGTGGGATAACATGAAAAGTGAAGCGATTTGAGTTAAGACGAAGTCCCTGGAATGAAGCATTTGTTATCCAACTTCCTCCCGTTATATAAAAAATATTATGTGGGTTCAATAAAGGCTATGGAAAGTCGTGCCAAATCAGCTGCGGACACGATGTATATAATAAGCTTAGCCTGAATAAAACCCAGCATAAGTTGTTATTTTACATTTCCCTTGGAGTCAACACGCAAATCTCAACTGACGAACATGGCGAGTCTAGCGAAGATGGTAAGTAGTACCTAAATCATTACTAACATTGTTTTAAATAAAGACTTCAGGCTAACAGAAATGCGATAAGAACAATCTGACAATCAATGGGTTTATTTTCGGGGGCGTCAAAGTTTGCTGTTTCAAACGCATTTTATCTTAACAGGGCGTGGGATTGGGACCAAAACATTTCCATGAAAGAGCTTTGCAGTGAAATAGCAATGTTGTGGTAGTGTGATGTCAAATCGGACACAAATGATTTACCTAATGACCTCCCGATATGATTTTATGATTATGGTCATTATATGTCTTTTATGGAAAGCCTGATCTCGAAGGATGGACCTGACGTCAATACATGTACATATTGTTGTTTACTTATTGATTTATTTAAATTCATGTACATTTTACATACAATATGGGATTAAGTGCAGCATACAACGCTTATAACAAAAATTTAGGGGGATTTGGAGTTGTTTAACGTGTGCACAGGAGTTTTATATTACGGGTGAAAGAATGGTATGCTGCGCACACAACGAAAACCTTTTTATCAGAAAGAAAAAAGGAGGTTATTTCGAGAAAAAATGTTCGAAATTACCTTTTCACTTGTGGATCTTTCTTCCCAATTTTTCTCTAATAAAAGTCGTTGACATTATTTTAATTCACTACTGTTAAATGTAAAAAACACTCAATCGACACACGAGAATTTGCAAAACAAAATAATCCTCGTGTCGCCATCTAGTCTTATCTACATATTCAATGTTTCATGTTTTTAAGGCTGAAGTTCCAGAATACTGGCAGAGGAAAGTGAGGACGGTTTTTAATGTTCTCGACTGCGACGGTAGAGGCGTAATTGACAAAGATACTATGTCCGTACGGGGGCAAAAGTGGGGCGACTTCTACAAAGACGCAGGTAAAACATTTGTGATCAGTCTATATAAAAGTCCATTACTAGACAGAGCCATCCTTCTTCAAAGGACTTCATTAATGCTTAATTTCATAAAATAAATTTCTAAAATATATAATATACTATATACCCTTGCAGCATGGATGAGACGGAGTGCCCAGTACATTATTGTACCAAAAGGAACAATATCAATGAGCCAGTTATTATCCTCAATATTAATTAAAATAATGCGTATTTAAAGATATGATCACTAACAAGAGCGTAGCCAAGATTTGAAATTAGCGAGGCAAAATATTTAAAGATAAAATTATATAACAATCCATAGACTTCATTTCAACGGTATTATAGTAGTTAAAAAACGTTTGAAAATATCATGTAATATTTTTTGGAGTCAATTACCTTGTCGCCTCATCCCTGGCTACGCCCATGGACTTGTTGTGTTTTAGATTTGATTTTCTTTATTATACAATTTAATATTCGTAACGATTATACAAAGATAGAGCTAGGCCGATACCCAGCATGATTGGCCCTGACATACCTAAAATTGGCTACCTAGCTATGATTGAAAACTGGCAGGTATGAGTTGTCATATCAATACGTTTCATCTAATTTACATGTCATTATTTACACTGATTATATAGTGAAATTGAGCCAAAGTTTTTCTATTTCTGGTTCTACATTGTAACTATAGCCAGCGTAAGGCCCTGGACGAAGTTGTTAAGATGAAATAGTCCAGGGTCTCGAAGCAATACTTCCAGTGCCTGAATCAATGCAGATTCATCTCAATGCATGCCAAGTTACATCGAATACTGTATAAGTGGTATAAAATCCGAGTGGTTAATTTGCCGAATGGTCAAATATTTCAATTTCTTGATTTTAATTTTCCTAATGACAAGAAACTTCCCATTGGATAACATTATGAGGACAAAATATCCGACATTTAATTTTCCGAGCCTGTTAAAAATTAGGCAATAGGCAAATTAAATGATTAGGCAAAATTACCACTTATACAGTATAGTTTTATCTCTAAAAACGGCACCAGGCCTTTAACTTGTAAATAAGCATTTAACACAGTGTTAAACAGACTTTGAAGAAAGCAAAGTTTGGTCGATATGACGTGCACGGACCTGGGGACAATTCGGGAAATACGGGCTAATCTCAGCTTTAATCGTTAATATCTGCCTTATTTAAAAAGCTAACTATATGCATTATATATCATTTTGAAGTATTTTTTATTCGCATTTCACTGAAATTATTTTTCCTTGAAAAGTGTGATGGGATCTACCATATTTTTTAAGTTAATTGTACTCCGACATCGTCAAATACGCTGTAAGGCGTAACATTTCACGCTTACACGGTTCGTTGAAATCAGGATAACTTTTGAAATACTGATCAGAATTTTACTAAAATTTCATATTTTATTCATTGAAACATGTGATTTTATGACGTCACAATTGCCTAGCGGCTACAGTTCAAATCGTCTTATATGAACGCTTTTAAAGTGTGCGCCTGACCCGGCTACGTATAGCACAGAGTTTATACTGGCGGATTAGACTAGTTCATTTTTTATATGTGTGTGAAAGCTTTCTCTTATTTGCGTTTTTTCGTTTAGTACGGTTTTGTTATAATTGCCGAGGTCATATAACCGGGATAAAACAATGATTATCGTTGACTGCCCACACACCAAACATACGTTGAGTGAACAGTGTTTTTACAAACAACAGGCTTTAGAATACAAAGCGTAGTGTGATAATAAGCTGCACACTACCACTGCTGCATGTACATATTACTAATTTACTAGGGCTCCCAAAGAGTGGATAGGGAGGTTGTGTTTGTCACTTTTAAATTTTACATTTCAAAATTGTCATTTCACATGTCATAATTTGTTGGTTTCATTCGTTTAGCCAATCAAAACATTGTAAAACAATAAATTGTCTGTTACGTACAATTAATTTTGTTCAGTTTTGATTAGTTGTCAGAATAAAGTTACGTTCATCTGAATCCATGTATCAAAACTAAAATCCTATTTTCACTTCAAAATACTTCAGTGAGATGAAGGCTCGGAATTGTCACATGCAATAACTTATTGTTGTATTCGTTATTTTATCTTCTCGATAGTAGCATTTAGTCGCACATTTGATGCCAGGTCACCTTGTCGCGTACCTCTTGGGGAACCCCACATTTATGTGTGTACTCATGGAAGTAAATTCCCCGGTGTAGCCGAGAGCCACAAACTTTTCAACAGGTTCGAAATGACCAATTTCTCTCATATATACTCTAAATATTTTATTATTTAGCACCTACAAAGTATTGCTAATAAACATATGTAATTTCAATAAGGAAACTTATCTGGCATACATATAAATTCAATATCAGCACTAGCTGTTCTCTCAACACGTCCTGGCTTACCTTGTGGTGACAAACCCTGGATTTTCGCTATTTATAGTTTATCAACACCTGGACGCATGCGCATTTTATACTTTATCGGGCACTTTAAGATTTTCAAAATTGTGTAAGGTTTTGAAGGCGAGGGAGACAAGCAATAAGTTCACCTTTATTTAACCTTCTAATTTAGGTCTGATTTCAAAAAAAATTTAACTGCACAATATTGTCATGGCGAAATTTACAAAACAATAACCGATTTCTTTATTTTTCAAATAATAAGAGAATAAGAGTTGCTTTTAGAGACTTGAAAAAATGTAACGCATCGATTTTTTACCACAAATACCATACATATCAATTTTTACTAACGCCCCGAGTGGATTTCCTGACCGTTTTTCAAAAATCAAAAACATTTTAGAAATATTGTCCTCGAGATCTTCTTGCTCTGTGAATTTCACCAGGATTGAATAAGAATAAAGCATCTTATTTTTAGGTTGACTAAACTTGACAAAATGTAACGCTTGTCGTTTTTGACGTTATAATGCTGATTGCACCCTATACTGGCCATTGTATTGTTTTGGTATTTTGACGCCATAATGTTACTCTAATTGTCCCCAGTTTCGTGCGACGTGTACCTTTCATTTTGGTACTAATCGTGTCGGCAGCAAGAAATTGCGTTTCTAATGTCAAACAATAAACATAGAAAACATCATAAGGGTACTAATTTGGTGCTATAAGACTAGTTAAACGTAACAAAAAATATCTCAAAAGTGTGCAAATAAGTCCAAAGGTTACGAGTACCTACTACCGAGGACCCCGGAGTCGTGTACAAGATGTAGTGATGATCTCACTTTTAAGAATTAAGAACAACATCATAGAAATTATAAATCGTTAGTTTGGGAATTGTAATAACGCAAATGCGAGTAGGTAGGTACCAGTTTCACCACCAGGTGGCTCGTTCGGGTCAGATAGCATGGCGCGTATAGTAGAAATAAAGTTCCCTTAAACTTAAATTACATCTGTTTCAGTGGTTCGATTTTCATATAGCCCTTATGTATCGAATAGTTATGCATCTTTAAGTATGTCCAGTAAAAGAAATGTTATATGTTCAATACAAGAAAAGATATTTCACTTTTTGTGATTTTGTAATATGGGGTCTATGGGGAATCAACCCGAACTAGAAGTCACATTTTCAAAAAAGGTTAAATTTTCAAAGTTGATAAACAATTTTCGAAACCGTGTTTCTAGATGTACTTTTCCATGTTTTACATGTAGATTTCAAATATGCCATCACTTAAACTGAATTTTGAATATTTAATGACGTAAATCAAGCTAATTTCTACTCGCATCTAGCCTATTGTATTGACCATGTTTTCGGGAACGTCTGAAATTTCTAACCGATATATGATTTAAGTATTAACCGTGATTTTGTAGATCCGTCCGTGACAACTTTCGTTGTAGCAAGCCTAAAAAAATGGTTGAAAGTCTTGAGCCCCGACAACGCTCCATTAAGTTGGCAGGAATTTGTACTCCGCTTTTGGACCATGTGGAACGACAGGAATCCTGAATTAGTGGACGCCATGGACTCCGTCATGAGACGCATTTACGAGTTCATAGATACAAACGGTTCTGGTTTCGTTTGTTTGGGAGAGTTTCAGAACTGGTGGCACGCCAATGGCTGGGACAACGTCAATGTTTGTCATAAATTCTTTCCAATGATGGACCGTGAGGAAAAAGGATGGGTGACCAAGAAACAATTCTGCGCCGCTGGGTACTCATATTTTGATGTTGTGGACCAAATGGATGGCACCTTTTGGAACTTCTGGTGGGGACCATTGTGGACAGAGGTAATCACCTTTGAGACATGTTTAACAAGATTTTTTTGTTGGACCTAATGCATTACAAACATGAACACAAATTATTTATTTATATATCTCTACAAAGAATACATTAAACAAGTGCACATGTGCCTGTGGCTGGGCATCAGCATTATCAGCCACATTTTTATTCGAAATAGCAGGTTCCAATGAAATATATTTTAGTAGATGGGTTAACTACATTTGGACTTCATTGTATGATGCAAATGTCCCATTTGGCATGGAAGTACCTTGGGGCAATAGAAATAAATTTATCCAAAGACACAAGCTAGATGGCGCGTTATATTGGAAATATACACATTTTTCAAAATGGCCGCCAAAAATCCATCAGAGACAATCTCTTTGTTTCTGTGCATGCTACAATTATAAGATTGGTGTAAAAAAATACAGTGATGTTGTCGTAGAATCTATTTTATTAGGTCCTGAGTCTTGAAAATTAAGAACTTCGACTTTATATTCAAAATATATGCGTTTTTCAAAATGACTGCCAAAAATATAACAAAGAAGATATCTTACCTTACGAATACTTACAAATTAAGATATCTTGCCTTACAAAATGTCCCCTCTGGCATGGAAATACCTTAGGGCAATAGAAACAAATTTATCTAAAGACACAAACTAGATGGCGCTTTGTATTGGAACTATACACATTTTTCAAAATGGCCGCCAAAAATACATCAGAGACAATAGTTTTGCTTCTATGCATGCTACAATTATAAGAGTGGTGTCAAAAAATACATTAATGTAGTTGTAGAATCTATTTAATAAGGTTTCAAGTCGTGTAAATTCAGCACTTGCACTTTATATTCAAAATATATGCATTTTTCAAAATGGCTGCCAGAAGTATAACAAAGATGATATCTTCGCTTCTAAGCATGCCACAATGATAAGAGTTGTGTCAAAGTATAGATTCATATTGGGTTGTAGAAGCCATTTAAATAGGTCTTTCATAATAAGAATTTTCACTTTATTGGAAATTATGTGTTTCTAAAAATGGCCACCGGAAATATAACAATGATGATATCTCCACATCAATGCATGCTACACTGATATGATTTGTGTAAAAATTTTACATTCATGGGGTAGGAGAATCAATTTCATTAGGTCTTATATATTATAGTTTTCACTTTATATTGGAAATATATGAAGCTGGAAATATAACAAAGATTGTGTCTTTGCTAACAAAGATTATACCTTTGATAACAAAGATTGTATCTTTGCTAACAAAAATTGTATCTTTGCTAAAAGATTCTTTGCTTCTGGGCATAATATTTCATAAAATTAGCTTCAAAATCTACATTTTTTGGGAATGTAAAATCTATTTGATTACTCAGATGGAAGTAGGTAGTTACCATTTTCCCCACCGGGCGGTTAATTCGGGTGAAATAACATTGCAGGGTATTACAAAGTTCCCTTAAACTTGAATATTCTCTATTTTTAGTGGTTCACATTTCATATTACTCGTTTGTATCTGATAGTTGTGCAAATTAAAATATCTCCAGTAAAACAAAATATTATCTGCACAACACAAGAAAATATATTTCACTTTTTGTGTTTTACTACATGGGGACTGGGGAATCTCCCTGACCTAAACGTCATATTTTCGAAGAAAATTCAATTTTAAAGTTGATGGACTCATTTCAAAACCACATTTCTTGATGTATCTTTTCATGATGATTCCAAATTCAACATTAGTTAGACTGGATTTTGAATTTTTAATGAACAAATAAAGAGTGTTACAACTCACATCTAGCTAATTGGATTATGAGCCTTAAAAATAATCGTTTTCGCCTTAACACAGCAAATGTGTATTTATTTTTCAATGTTCCTTTTACTCAAATTCACCAGAAAGACCAGGGTCTCTTTAGTAACTTGCAATAAACATGCATCTGCAATGGTAGTGCAATTTTAGTTGTTGCAATGCAACATACATAAGAGAGAAATGTGATAGATAGAAACCACGCAGGACAAACATACATATGTACCTATACTTAGAAAGGGCCAGAAACATTCTGGCGAGAGAAAATCTTGAAGATCGAATAGATTTCAAGGTCTGCACATTATGACAGTATTGCAGAACCCTCTTCGTCTCCTCTTTTTCTCAATTAAAACATATTAAAAGTTTCTTCACTTTATATGAACAATTACTCAAAAGGGGACGGCATTGAAATGCGCTGAAGTTGAAAACCACATCTCCCATGCTATCCATAGTTTTCAGCATAGTTTCTATCGCAAATTGATATTCAAAACTACACTTTCAAACTATTCTACTTTTGAAGAAGTTTAAGAGCCCTTGTTACATTATTTGTTGTAATATTTTCCACAGCCATTGAGAAAAGGGCATACATTTTCAATAAAAAATGAAAATGTTTGTTAACTAATAGACATACAGTATAATATCAGAATTTCCGCTGATTTTAACATTTTGGTGACCATTTAGTCAATGCTAAAATCATATTTAGACAAAAAATTGAGATCTAACTTAGTATAATGTGACGATATACCTTGACGACATATCTAGCAAGTAATAATGTAGCTAATGCATGATCTCCTTCTCTGGGACATTTCGAATTTTTTGAGGCATTAATTATAAAATTAACACCATCTTCAATACATATGGCCATACTTTAAAGGAATCTGAAAATAATTGCAAAATCATACATAAGACAGACGATGAACTGACAGACTGACGGACGGAGGGCTTCACTATATCCCCATTGAACTTTCTTCGTTGGAAAAATAAAGACTATAAACCTTATCAAATGGATTCTACCACCCATTAATGTATACTTGGATATCAATCTTACTATTGTAGCATGCATACAAGTGAAGATATCATCTTTGTTACATCTTTGGCAGCCATTTTGAAAAAGGCATATTTTTTAAATATAAAGAGGAAGTTTCTCATTTTCAAGACTCAAACCCACACTAAATTGATTCTTCACCCACAAAATGTATATTTAGGCACCAATCATTTCATTATAGTATGCATAGAAGAAAATATATTGTCTCCGTTGTATTTTTGGCGGCCATTTTGAAAAAAGTGAATATTTCCAATATAAAGCGCCATCTGACGTGTGTCTTTGGATAAATTTGTTTCTATGGTCCTAAGGTACTCTCATGTCAAAGAAAACGTTTGCATCATAGATTGAAGTCCAGACCCCCTAAAATGCAGTTAACCCATCTACTATTTCCATTCTTTTCAGTTTGAAATGCCAGATTTCTGGGTAAGGAAAGCCAGGACTGTCTTCGAAACCATTGATGTGAAGAAATCTGGAACTCTTAACTTGGACTCAATGGAGGCAATTGCTAACCACTGGTGTCAGCTCTACGGAGTATCAGGTAAAATATCGTTACAGTAACACGGGGCGAGTATAAGGAGGATTGGCTCCCAGGATCAACCATCGATATTTTCCTTCAATGAAAACGTCGAAATGTTATTTTCTAAAATTAAAACTGACTATTAATTCAAAATAAACGGTCCAAAAGATTCATACAAATATCTCGATCTCTTGTGAGTTTTGGAATTTTTCGTTAAAGAAACAAAATAGCTGCTGTTTGAATTCAAAATCTGAGAGCCAATCATCCTTGAATTTTGGTCTTCCTAACGAAAATTTCCAATTTTCATCGTTGGAAAAGAGCCAATCCCCCTTGGGAAAGTAGTTCATTTGCTAAAATATTAGTTATGACACACAATCACCACTTGAACATGTTAAGTTACAATAGGCAGTTGGACAGAGTTATCCAATCTTTATTAGAATTCAGTACTGCAGTAGCTAACAGTTAGCCTATAAAGTATTACGTATGTCTGGCAGATGATTCTTCAAATCCTTAAACACAGCCTTTGAGTTGGTATTTCAGAATTAATATCAATTGAGACCTATTATATAACTTGTGTTTAACAACATACTAATGTGTCCCTTATGCCCATGTGTTTCCTTTCGTAGCACTGTATGTTCACTTTAAGTATATTTTCCAGTAGAAGTTATTAAATGTGGGTGTCCTTGCCCGTAGCCAGCTTTTACCAGGAGGGGGAGCTTTTTTCCAGGGGTGGGAGCTTTTTCACAATTTAGGCTAAAAATCATGCGAAAAATCCTCAGAATGGTTAAAAACTGCTTCTGCTCCCCCAGCTCCCCCTCTGGCTGCGGGCCTGGTGTCTAACATCTAGCCTATGTCATAAATAATATGATACGAAACATAAAGAGAAATGAAAATCAGAAATATGTATGTCCATAATAGGGATGTTGAGCACATGTTATTAAGATACCTTGTATGTGAATATGTAATATTTTGACCCTCAGACATTACTGTCCCCTTTACATTGGTTTTTCCAGGGACCGTATTTATAACAACCATTGTCCGAAAACATTTTCGGCAATTGGGCAAGTTTTACTACAATGTTACGAAGGGGGAACTTACCCCAAGAAGCCTATACTTCTACATGTTCATGCACAAATTCTCCCAAAACGTGTAGCTTAAACTTCCTGGTATTTATAAATATGAATTATAATTTATAGAGGAGAATCGAGGCTACTTTTCGGATAATATGAAAGAGTGGTGGACCCTATTGAATCCAGACAATACAACCATGGACTGGGCCGCCTTCGTCCGAAGCTTATGGAAGATGTGGGGTAAAAGTACTCCAAGCCCCGATTTCATCTCTGCAAACGAGGCGATTTGGGGTGCCATTTTTCACTTCATTGCTGATCTGTCCGGCTACGTCTCTTGGAAGGAATTCCAGTATTGGTGGCGTGTTAATGGATGGAATAATATGATTGAGTGCGAGAAGGTCTTTAAATGGATGGACAGCGACAACAAAGGACTAGTATCACGAAGGATGTTCTGCGATGCTGCAAGATGGTACTTTGAAATTACTGATGAATTGGAAGGGATGGAACGCAACCTCTGGTGGGGACCTTTGTATAAGGAGGTAAAGCAGCTGAATTATCCTTACGTTATTTTTTATTTTAAGCCGCATTGACTGTGTCAGCCTGGTTGATGTTAGGGGTCTTGAGAATCGGGGCCATGTTTCTTGAACATGTTCAACGTTTATCCGTTCTTTTTTAGTTTTATGTGTATATATCCCGGGGCCATTTGATTGTTAAATGTTATGCATGTAAACAGGTTATTAAAACATAATTCAATGAAGGAATGGAGAGGGTTGTTAGCATGAGTCTTCAAGAGAAAGCCCATTGTGTCAGAGATTTTTTAACATATTTCAAGAACGTGAAATTGAGATGCTGGTAGGTTCTCTATGACTCGTTTAGGTTGCACTCTTCCTCAATGATGAATAATGAGATCGTGTATATATTTTGTGCTCCTATATATTCCCAGGTTGATATGCCAGACTATTGGGTTAGAAAGATGAAGGCAGTCTTCAGGTGTTTTGATGTTGACAAGACAGGCGTTCTAACGAAGAGTTCTATGCCGACTGTTGCCACGTTATGGAGCTCTCTCAAAGATGAGCAATGTATGGATAAAATAATCATCTTGATTTTAAAAATGATTCAATAATGAAAACTTGGTCTTTAAAAAGAGCTCTACATACAAAATTATGTCTAAAGCTAAATCTTTATTTTTTGGATCGGGGAGGTTCCTCATAGAGCCCCCTTTCATCCCACATTTCTTGAAGTGTTGTGCATTTGTTAATTGATTACGTGTTATCTCAAAGCGCTTGCTTGAAAACAGCTTAAGCAAAGGGTCATTGGTTACAGTTTCAGCAAATGAGAAAGTCGTTTCAAGCCTTGACAAATGGATGACATTACTCAATCCCGAAGATCGGCCAATGACGTGTCAAGATTTCATTCGGGTCATGTGGGTCAAGGTCAATAACTGGGACAAGTCCTTCTGGAATGCATTCGGACTAGTTTGGGAGAAGATGTTCGAGCAGATGGATCCTGATAACTCGAGGAAAATGTCTCGGGTAGAATTCATTAGCTGGTGCCAACTGAATGGTTGGTTTTGGGAGGAGAACATGGTAGCCACGGTGAACTTTCTCGAAGATCACGGCTGGTTGACAAAGCAACAGTTCTGTGATGCGTGTCGCTGGTATTTCAATGTTTTTGAAAAGGCAGAAGAGGATGAGTGGAACTTAATGTTCGGACCCTTGGAGGACAAGGTACAAAGAATATTCCTTCAACAGTTTATTGTCCACGATATTTCCACAGTTACTAGTATGTATAAATTAATATGATGACATTTTTGTCAACAGAGTAGGTCGTCAACAGAGTAGGATCGTTATTCCCTTGTCTACCTAGTTTACACCTGGTAATCAGTATCACTTCTAATGCTATCCATTGTTTTGTGTAGGTGAAGATCCCATTCTACTGGAGTTGGAAGGTTACGGCTGTATTCAATGTGTTAGACATCAATGAGACTGGCATTCTAAATAGAGAGTCAATGAAGGCCATTGTAGAAAGCTGGTGCGCCAAATACGAAATTACCGGTATGTCTACACAATCATTTTTCAATTTTATATAATGATAATTAGGACGATTCATTTTGTGATGGTGTATTTCCTGTTTCATGTTGCGATAGCGTGTTTCCTGTTCATTTATCGTCTTGTAATGGTGTGTTTCGTGTATCATATTGTAACGGTTTGTTTCATGTATCATCTTGTAATGGTCTGTTTGATGTATCGTCTTGTAATGGTGTGTTTCATGTATCATCTTGTAATGGTGTGTTTCATGTATCATCTTGTGATGGTGTGTTTCATGTATCATCTTGTAATGGTGTGTTTCATGTATCATCTTGTGATGGTGTGTTTCATGTATCATCTTGTGATGGTGTGTTTCATGTATCACCTCTTGATGGTGTGTTTCATGTATCATCTTGTAATGGTGTGTTTCATGTATCATCTTGTAATGGTGTGTTTGATGTATCATCTTGTAATGGTGTGTTTCATGTATCATCTTGTAATGGTGTGTTTCATGTATCATCTTGTTATGGTGTGTTTCATGTTTCATCTTGTAATGGTGTGTTTCATATATCATCTTGTGATAGTGTGTTTCATGTTTCATCTTGTGATGGTGTGTTTCATGTATCATCTTGTGATGGTGTGTTTCATGTATCATCTTGTAATGGCGTGTTTCATGTATCATCTTGTGATGGTGTGTTTCATGTATCATCTTGTAATGGTGTGTTTCATGTATCATCTTGTGATGGTGTGTTCCATGTATCATCTTGTAATGGCGTGTTTCATGTTTTCTAATCATGTCAGTATGTAAGGATCTATATTCAAAGGTATAATATTTACGTTCATCAATTTTAGTTATTTATTTGTTTGGTAAGTCGAAATATTGAAATTGTACAATAAGCGGGTTACATAACTTGTGTATGTCCCCCACTAGCTCATTATAGTAATTTATGAAGGAAACCTCCGAGTTTAGCACTCTGTTTAGCGCTTTGTTTAGCGCTTTGATGTTAAGCAACTCTCATATGTGGCGTTATGTTGTTTATTTTCCGTTGAGTTGATTTCATTCAATAATGGGTGAGTAAAATATGATATTCGTTTATAGATAATCGAGTAGGCGACTATGTGCGGACCTTTGAGAGATGGATGACGGCGATTAACTCAGCAAACGATTCTTTAACGTCGGACGGCTTCGTGAAAGCTGTTTGGGATTTCATCCAGGATCGCGAGAATCTCACACTTGCACAAGTCAAGGACACGTTTGCGCCAATTTTCCGATGTTTGTTTGATCTAATGGATGATAATGACTCAGGGAAGATTACTGTTAGAGAATACGTTACTTTTTGGAGACACAATGACTGGAAAGGTGCGGATTTGTGCAAGTCAACCTGGAAGTGTCTGGATGCGGATGACCAAGGGTGGCTAGACAGAAAGGAGTGGCAATACAACGCATGGCTTTACTTTGAAGTCCTCGATCAGGTCATAGGAACAGACCAAAACCTGTTTTGGGGACCACTAACAAACCAACTGTTTAAATAACTTTGTAACTATCTAAGTAACTCAGTTATTTAGTAACTCACCATTGCAACTAAGCAACTAACTCAGTGACGTAAAGACTAACTAGGAAACTAATAAAGCTGCTATGTAACTGTCTACCTTAGTAACCACCCTATACGATGTGATCGGGAGGGAATGGTTTCGGTAAGGGACGAGAACAATAGTGACTTAAATCAAAGAATAATCTTTGTCTCTCTGTTCGGACATTTTCTCCAAGACCGGTCAACCTTGTGTCAGCTTACTTGGTTAACATACTAAGTGGGTCAATAGGTATTCTATGATGGTCAGAGGTCATTACAAGGTCAACGTTCAATATTTAATTATTGGCATTTTAAAGCATATGAGAACCGCTCTGACCCTTGGTGACCCATGATTAGGTGATCCCAGGTCAAGGTCAAATTAATTGCTCAAGGTCAATATCTAGGTACTTGGTGTTTTAAGGCCCTTTTGGGCTGCTGTGACCCTTAGTGATCCATAATTTAATTAGGTGACTCCAAGTCAAGGTCAAACTCGAACAGGTAGTTGTTTTTATATTATCACAAAGACAAACAATTCTCTGAATATATTGTTTTTTGAAAATAAATTAACTTATGGACAAGGGACACGTATATATTATAGATTCGATCTTAGAACTAATCAATTTAAATCTACATTTGGACAAAGGAGCATTAAACACATACTGTAGGATGTATAACATGGAATGAATTACCTGAGTTTTAGACATAAATTCTAAAACAAAAAATTAGATTTGAAAAAGTATTAAATTGTACTGAACATAACATTTAGCTTATTATATAATACATTTCTTCATTTTCTGTTACTTTTCTCATAAATTTTTATTTTTTAAAAACAGTTTTATATCTTGTCATCTTGATTAATACAATTATGCACTGTATTCATATGTACCTGTATACACCCGTATAAGTGTCAGTTGCCTGTACACTGAACATTGGTAAAATTAATAAATAAATCTACTATGCAAAATGTAATTTTGTATTCCTTTGTATTAGTTCATGCTTAACGCCACCTTCAGAATATAAACTGAGTGACGGAAAAACTAAGTTTGTCCAACATCATTACAATGTACTATATACGACAATCAAGACTGAAACGATGGAATATGTCATTGCAAACGTTCCCCTAAGAACAGATTTCTATTCATAACCATGACGAGTCTGTTTAAGAAGACCCAAATATCAAGGAGAAAATGTACTCTAATCAACGCAGTGAATTCCTGTTCCTAAGTGCGCAACGGTCCATCATCTGATCATGGAGAACACAAGTGACACCTATCGTCAAAGAATGTAATCCTCTCCAGCATCAGGCGTCGAACCGCACGGTCTAACATCATATTGTCCTCGTTCACGAATCCATTTGTTTGCAACTGTAAGTAAATCAACATCGTTAGACAAGGCAAGGAAATCATGAAAATCTATTATAAAAACGTACAATGACATGTGCATATCATTAAGGAATGGGAGAGAATATAGACAAAAAGATATAGAAATAATCTTAAAAATTATGCCTCCAAATTTTAGTTTATATTTTGGAAGAAAATTAGAAATAAATTAGATAAATTTAAAATGCAGAAATCCTCAATGATAGAAATTCAGATAAATTTCAAAATCGAATGCAAAAACAAAATGAGAACTATCGACTTTTCAGAAATGGACATGGCATGGCATTACATGCAAAAAGTCACATCCTGCCATTTGTTACATACGCCGAACAAAAAACACCAACCGCTTAACACCTCAACCGCCGTCAACAAAACGTTGGAGACTCACCATTTCTGGTGACAAAATTAACTGTGACTATTCCTTTAAAGTTATTCTTAATCATCTCTATTCATTTAAGTTCCTTTAAGTAACAACTCTGAAATATCACATGTACATCCGGAATGCAAGTTTTTTTTAAATTTAAAACCATATACTCACCCCATTTTTGTCCGAGAACAACGGGGCAGCCTGCGTGGAGAGTTCTTACGTCATTTTCACCAGAACGTTTAACGTTGAACCAAAACGCCGCCGCTCCCTTTAAATAAATGAGTACGTATAAATTATTGTATGTTCAAACTATTTTACCCATATTTCACGTAAGTTGTAGATATTGCGCATCACAAATGACAACGATTTGGAATTGATATATAACCATTATAATCATCGACTAGACGAGTTCTGATTCGGGTTTACGTCATGAGAACCATACCCTCACTGTCTCAAAATATAGACATCAATTAATCAACGATTTATTTCACCAAGGAATAAATAAATATTTTAGAATTACCAATGACAACGAATAAAGTGAAACTAACAGCTTTTGAACAGTGTACGGACGCATGGGACTACTTTACTGACCATTGTACTTTACCTTGACCGCAGGGACATGGACCTTGGCATATGGGAAGACGGTTGCACCCCCAGCTTCAACGTCATTCAACTAGAAAATTATGAATAATTGTTATTATGTAATTCATGTGGTATTTAATGAATCGTTTTTATGGTTACCATGTGCCTACTCAAGATAGAGTAAATGTATGGAGGAAATAGTGTGGTTCAAGACCTATATTGGACTAAAATATAGTTTTAAGTACTCCATGTGGAGTTTGAAGGTTTGATAGATTGATAAAACTAAATGTACGCAAATTGTGCATACTTCTCGCGACACTTAATTTTCAAGGGACGCTATGGGCATATTCTTTAAGCATATTTCTCATATGTACTATCTACTTTGCGCATGGTGAAAAGAATCTACTTTAAATTTAATTTGTATGCATATTATGATTTCAATTAAGAGTGAAAACGCTACGTTTGTTTGACCACCCTGTAATGTTTTATTTCTACATAATGATACTCACATAAAATAAAAATGTAGAAAGTCTGTCTCCAGTGTTCTTTATGAAGTCAGGAACATGAGCCAACATTGAAATATCCTAAAATGTTATATAATCAGCTCGCATTGAAACGATAATTAATCCTACATAACACTTCTCAAGTGAAACCTTATTATTAGAATGACAGCTTTAAAAATTACTTGAGCAATAATATAGTTACAAGATTTGCAAATATGCTTGCACATTAACATCACATAAATCAAATGTGCAATTGTAAGCACAATGGCCAAATGGAAAAAATGTAGTGGATCTCACATGACGCTCAAATCAAATATGGGGAGTTTAAGCTTGCATATAAAATCGAAACGCCAACCTATACGTATGACCAATCGTCCATACAAATACATCGCTTAAATATATGTTCCGTTCACGTTTAGGTTGTGAAAAACATTGCAAGCTTAAACTCCATATTTCAGTAGATGTACGTACTGCATAATAATCATGGTGTGGTTCATATTGGCCTCCCATACCATAATTCACGACCTAGACAAAGGAAATTAACACAATGATATTTAGCTATATAGTATTTCAAACGAAAGTGTTCATCACGAATATATTTTTGTCATTTAGCACGAGAAGTCAGAGGTTTTTTATATAGCCGAACGCAGGCTTCCAGACATCATCCACTAAGTTCCTTCCTTCTGAAACGAGTTCTGGAGGCCTGTGTTCGGAGGATGGAGGTTTTTTATAGAACCGAACGCAGGCTTCCAGACATCATCCACTAAGTTCCTTCCTTCTGAAACGAGTTCAGGAGGCCTGTGTTCGGAGGATGGAGGTTTTTTATATAACCGAAACAATCCTTTGCAATGAAACAATTGTTAAACAAGTGCAATTTAAGATAACGGCAATTATTTTTGGCTGTTGGAATATCGTACCTGGAATGGCTCTGAGTGTGACAGACTCGTCTTATACTCTGTGTGTAAACCTGTTATTTCCGCAACTCTGTGGCTGAGTTGATGGATACGTGGGTGGTGTGTGTCATATATCCAAGCCCTGAAATCAATACATTTGATATATCTTGTGCTGTGCAAATGTATTTTGTACTGTGCGAATGGGATTTTAAATTTAGGCTAGTAAGAATTGGTCCTTCATAAAACCTCTCTCTTTATACCAGGCAACCTTTTCCGAAACTACACTCCAAATCTCAGGAAAACTATATTGAGTTAGAGAGGGGATGAAAAGAACCAAATCGAAATGTGATATTAAGAATTTCTCAACCAAATGAGGTTTTCAGCTGCCATAAATGAAACACCAATATAACACTACTAGCTACTCAAAATCAAAATTCAAATTTTGCAGAATGTAGTTTTTGGCTTTGGAAAGTGAGCATCCTAGGATTTACTGGTGATATTACTTCATCAATACAATACTTCAATACAATTACAATATGAGTCATAACCGTCATAAACTATATAGGATATTACCTATTTTTCTCTTAATATACGATAAAACATCAAATCAATTTAAAATACAATTAAAACCTGACCTCAATCTAATTGACCTCAACAATCTAAGTGCGCTACCCATTGCGTTTCTCATTGCACACAGCATCCTTGACCAAAAGGGTATTCAAATTCATGCGATGCCCTTGAGCTGGGACAGTGAATGCCCCATCTTGAAGAATGGACACACAAGTTAAGGTGGAGTTTCATTGATAAGACATTTAAATCTATTATTATGAAAGAAACGTGTTGTCATTCATAAGAAAGATATGTGATCAATAATACATGAAAAAATGTTCTATTATTAACAAAAACAGCCAGATTGTAAAATAAAAAATTAAAAAAAACATGCAATATAAAAAGCAGATGATAACAAGGAGCCACATACATTTTCAAACAATCCAAATGCAAGATTTGAACCAGATACCTAATAATTTTACAATCAATATTATAAAATTAGATGAACATGCTTTTTATTTGGGAGTAACTTACATTTTACCCACTCGATAAAGTGCCGTCTTGAGCTGCACATTTAGTGATATCAGTAAGGGTTTACTAATATCAAAATTGAGTTTCAATGACGCGCGTTTGATTCGGGGCAATAGAACCGGTCCGTCTTCTCGCTGCTAGCAGGATGAAATTCTTTGTCACAAAGTTTGGCATTTTTTATAAAATCAAACGCGCGTCGTTGAAACTCACAAGATGTAAATAGCATGTCATTTACATCATACCTTGATGGGGAAAAATAGATCTTATATGTTAGAAGTACTAAATAAAAGTTATCGTGAAAATGAGACAGTCGTTCTCGAGAGAAAAGAGCATAAATGCGCATTTAGAGAGTTTTGGTCCGTTAAAAAATCTGTAAAAAATTTGGGTACTTAAAAGCATCGAGAGGCATCATATATTTCAAATTAGACACGAGGAAGTCAATATTGAGCAAGTTATGGCTGTTTTAAATTCAAATAAAACCGTTAACACGTACCGGTCCAGCTTTTGACCCGTACCGGTCAATTTTCGTTAGCTGCGTATACCAAGGATGATATACAAGTCTTAAAGCAAACAACACGTATCCACCAGCACCAGAAATCAAGTTATTGCTTTTAATGTACAGGGTGATAAGAAGTTAAGTTTGATTGGTTGATTTTATGGTATCTATGGTAACCCGACGTGACGTTACCCATCCCATATACGACAGGTTGGGAATGATATAAAACCGACACCTATTCCTTTACCCAAACTTGCAGAATTTACATAAAATTAACGTACACTTTACCAACACGTTGATCAGTTACATCCGCCTTAGAGGGGTCTCCGACATGAGCCCTTGCTAACTAAAACAATGCTTTTATTACTTTGAGTGAATTTTGTATGCATGTCAATGGTAAAACAATGGAAATTCATATATTTTGTTCGTTAGTTATTCATCGAATTCTATTATATTTTTGAATTCTATGATTTGTATTTGGCCATATGTGAGTCAGGGCGTAGCGGGGGCGTAGCGCTGTTTTTCTACACGGGAACAAGAGTTGAGCGAAGCGAGTATGTATTATTGTGTAGCAGTGCACTTTCCTTTAACATAACTTTTGCATAATTGAGTAAGAAGCCTTGATGTAAAACAGTGTGCTATGAAATATAGGCTTAAACTAGTGCCTAGAACCCACTCTTGCTCGATTCCAATTAACATAGATAGGTTTTCATTTGATTTTTTATAAAATCATAACCGTTTACTACTTCAAAAATATAAATATATAAACTCTTACCCCAGGCAATGCTTCATGTTTAATAAATTCACTCTCTTCATTAGTTATGACATCATAAAACATAGATATCCAAGGTGATATACTAAGCACTTCCTCCTTGGTTGGAGCATATGGATTGAAACCTACTTTATAGCGGCACTTCAGTTGAGAAACCTCTTTTGGGGTCTGTAAAATAAGTAAAGGCCCGTTACGTTCCACATAGTAAATAGAGGGCGGGACAAATGAGTACAGGGTGGTCGGAAAAGGAGATCATTGAAATAGGCAATATCTTCATGGAATATTGCCTAAGAAGACATGTCTACAACATTTCCCATTGAATGATCAGCTATATTAAATTAAAAATGAAATAAAAATGTTCACCATATAAAAGAAGTTATTCATAATCTTTTGGTCTCCCTTTCTCCAGTCACCCTTTACAATGTGCCATGGTATTTCTATGTTGTGTTATTTAACTTATTTCATTCATGATTTTGCTCATTTTAGATGTGTAGTCGCATTCCACATATTCAATGCTATATTGAAATAATAATGTTTCTCTGTTCAAAAGTCAGAATAAAATATGGGAAGGCAGTTTTGTAGATCATTTAAGAATAGCTGTGGTATTTCATCTTCGCTAAAAATCATTTTCTGGGATACTAGGGATGTGTTGTTTCTGTTCTGTTTGGGTTTTTACTTAGTACTTTTTAATCCTTTATAGCACTTGTATCAACTCTTAGTGAACCCACCTTTAGTGTCTCACCTCTGCAAAGTTTACCATAATCCTCCAGCCAATCGAGAGCAAATGCTTCACCAGGTGCAACAGTAAGTTCACTAGCCGCTTCCGTTAACTTTATTCTGCTTTTCTGATCATCTGTCAATATATCTGAAATATAACCCAATTGTACATGATGCTGATACGTCTTTGACATAGTTTACAGAAATGGTAATAAACATTAAAGGAGCACGTAGGTTATCGCAAACAATTTCAGAAGGTTATATCCTGGATTATGACTATTTTCTGACAATGAAGACAAGTTTATCTTTTAGATCAATTCATTATCTCAAAGAAAATTATATACAGTAATAATAAAGTCAAACAAACTCGGAGATATTTAACTAGCAATCAACCAATTAACACACTTTTTCAAAGATGTTCACCCATTTTCAACAAAAATGCAATCATTTTTTACAATGTTTAATGCATTACTATTCTTTATTTTGATGTATCAAATAGTTCTTGAAAGAAAAACTTAATTGCTTTAAGATAATTCTTCCCCATGTTATTTCTCCATTGAAAAATCTCATGCTATCCATTGGTTTCAGTTCATTTTGGTCATCCAAATTCAGTATCTTTAAAGTCCCTGGAGCAATCAACTTTTCCTTTTAGGAAATCGAACATGTCTCAAAGCACATTCTTATTATGCATTCAACAATATAATAAGAGGTTGCATTTTTGGTGAAAATTAGGTCAACATTTTTGAAAAAGTATGTTGATTGGTCCATTGCCCCTTCAATATCACTTAAGTCTGATTAACTAAATTAACATTATATATACTTTTCTTGAAGATAATGAATGGATCTAAAAGATACACTCATGTTCATGATCAGAAAATATTCATAATTCAAATTAGAATCGTTTGAAATTGTTTGCCATAACCTACCTGCTCCTTTCTAGACACATGAGCATGAAGCTCTTATGTTCCTTTGAAGTGTTCATGCTCAAGAGTGGTGGATGCACGACATTTGAGTTTGAAATTGCACTTCAAATTGGCAATGTGAGGTATGATACAATACATTACATGGCAAATTGTCACCACTTTAAAGTGTCAGAAAAGCCTGATTCCCAACATATATTGTCTTTATGTAAACACTTTCAGCTTTCTTTTGGTACCAAACATTATAAGTTGTACGCAGAATGCAGCAAAATTCTTTTTTAGGCTCTTTTGATTCTGTCGGCCTATATTATATACCTTTGTATTGGTCGTCAGCCCGTATATCATGAATAATTTGAAGTGCATCTGTATGATTTCCATCCTACAAAACACATCACATTTATCTTTAATGTTTATACTAAGGATAGAACAATTCACATCGCTCGACTCATAATCCCAAAAGGAATCATTTTTTCTCAAGTGATCATTGACAGCCACGGGGGTATTTTTAACTGATCAATGATTTGAGATGAATGAAAAGCTGTACTGTATATAATTCCAGTATATACATACCAGTCTGTAAATGTCTGCTATTGTTAATTTAGCATCCAGTATATCTGGAACTGTTAGATTTCTTTGCATGGCTATGTCTATCCACTCAAGTCCTTGTCTATAATATTGTGTTCTGGTTGAGGTCGTTGATATATCTAGACACTCGACCGCAGAGAGAGGCTCCATTGCTTTATTGTTCATGATGATACCGTTGGCGATATCAGTAGTATTAAGTTTGTAGATATTTTGTATTCTGAGTATTGCGTGACATGCACCATGGTAATCTTGATGCTGTGGGAATATTTTCAACACTTCGTCAGCGACCATTTTGAATTCTGAAATGACATATCCAATAAGATGATCAATATACACCTACCAAAATTAAGTAATAATAGGAATATCTCAACCCAATATGTTTTATCATGATATGGTGAAGATACTTCTTCTTTCTTTAGACTAAATTCATTGTCGAATGATATGACAACTCCACATGATGAATTTTTTACGTAATGTTAAGAATAGCTTTTATAAATAAAATCAAAATATTTCGACAAAATATAATGTTGAAATTATACTCTTTCCAATTTTATCCTCATTTGTGTGTATTCACGGCTTTTGTTTCTGGTAGTTACATATGTGTTGATAGATTGATAGATTTCAATTCAATTATTTATTTCATAATTCTTATTTCATAATTCTTATATAATATACACTATAAAAACAAGCCGCTAGACACCCTAGTGGGTATATGTTGCGGTTTAACAGAAATCATTAAAATGACAACTAGACTACATATAAAAGAAAACACTTATATTATGTTACATGTAGGTATATAAAAATGGTATTAACAATTAATCTAAGGATGTACAATGTAAAAATGTTACAAAAATCGGGTACCAGTATAAAATCAACAGTATAGTATGATATTGGTATTATACATTATCGATAGATGAGTAGTTTTTTATATGAAGATTTGAAAATATTTAGAGTGGAGCATTTTTTAATATCATGTGGTAGAGCATTCCAAAGATTAGGACCCAGATAGCGAAGGGAAAGTTTAGAGCATTTAGGGATATGAAAATAATGCAATTGTCTTGTGTAATGATGATGAATATTAATGTTGATATCAAACAAGTCTTGAAATAGATTTTTTGGAAGACTGGGGTGCTTATTAAAGATTTTGTACATGAACTGACCAGTACAATATCTGTTGACATCAAAAATACTTAATATTCTAAGATCTTTAAATAGGGGAGCGGAGTGAGAAAGTCTATCCTTATTTAAAGCTAGCCTTAAGAATTGTTTCTGCAGTTTATGTAGACGATCATAAAATGATTTAAATGTGTTACCCCAGATTATGTTGCAATAATTTAATTGAGAGTGTATCAATGAGTAGTAAATTGTTTTGAAACTGTCTATTTGAAGTAGATGTTTAATGTGATAAAGAGAACCAATGACGCGAGAAATCTTTGTTTCAACAGATTTTATGTGCTCTTTAAATTTCAAGTTTTTATCAATAATAATTCCAAGAAAGTCAATTTTTCCCGGAAATTTATGTTCTCATTGCGTATTTTAAGATTCAGATTTGTTTGATTTTTTTGGGGTCCAAATAGAATAGCATTGGTTTTGCCAATATTAAGTGAAAGTTTGTTTGCTTTTATCCAGTCATCTATTGAATTCAAGTTTGCATTAGTTCTAGTCATAAGTTCATTTAAATCATAATCACTATCAAGAAGATTGGTGTCATCAGCAAACATAATAAATTTTAGATTAGGGGCAACAAAAGGCAGATCATTTATGTAAAGAATAAATAATAGTGGTCCAAGTACCGAGCCCTGCGGAACACCACAATTTAGAGATGATTGTTTAGATTCATAATTGTTAATGGTGACATATTGTTTGCGGTCTTTTAAATAACTTTCAAACCAGGACTTAGCTATTCCTCTGATGCCATAATATTCAAGTTTTTGTATCAAAATGTCATGATTAATTGTGTCAAAGGCCTTGGAAAAATCTAATGTTATGCCAATGCTCGTTTTCCCCAAATCAGTTGATTTTCGAATTTGTTCAATGAAATATAAAATGGCCATGTAGGTAGAGTTGAATTTCTGAAATCCAAATTGATAAGTAAAAATAATTTCAAAACGTTCTAAAAAACCAGTGAGTTTGGCGTGCATGAGCTTTTCTAACAATTTAGAAAATACAAATAAAACTGAAATTGGTCTATAGTTCGAAGGATTTGTAGTGACACCTTTTTTAAATACAGGTGTTACTTTGGCCAATTTGAGGGCGTCTGGGAAAATACCAGATTTAAAAGATAAGTTAAATATATACAAGAGTGGATCAATTAAAAACTGTCTTGCAGACTTAATAAGTGATGGTAGAATCCCATCAGGTCCAGGCGAGGAAGATTTTAGAAGACACATTTCTAATTCAAGCTCAGTTTTTGAGGTCTTTTTATATATGAACTCATGATAAATAAAGCAATCAAATTTCCAAAAAATATTTCTGGTGTTGATGTAATTTTGTAAAAGGATAACTATGTTCATATGGAGGGGCGAATAGTCTTGCCAAAACTGAACCATAAAAAAATATTTGGGTATGAACATAATGTGTTATTGTTATCACATAAATGAAACATTTTCTAGGAAAAACGGTAAATCTCGGACACATGAACAATAGACCATTGATATTCAAAGATATGACAAAAAATTTGAAGCCAGTTTTAACTTTAGCATTTGACTGGTAAAATATGCCTATCCTTAAGTTTCTGTAAATAATTTTTTATGGCAATACCCTTATGCTTTGATACTTTTCTAGCCTTTTAAAAAGTTGCAAAATTGTTTGGCCCACCCTGTAGACTATCATCCACGAGATGGCTTGACAAAATTCATATTGAATGTGTAAAAGGAGTGGCAGATTCTGAGATCTGACGCAAGATTTATTATATTTTCACATACCATTGTATGGTGCGAAATTTCCAGAATGGTGGAACACACTTGCCCATGCTCCTGATACCCTTTTGATGAGGTGGAAGGCATTTATGGGATGTCCAATGAAATCATGGGCATCTTGTACTTTCGGAATGTCTTCTTCTATGGCATCCTTAATTCTAGGGGAAATGTATGTGAGCTTATATATAAAAGCCTTGCCCAAGTCGGTATTTTTCAGTCATAATAGAAATCAAGATAAGTAAAAGAGACCGACTTGGGCAAGGCTAGTTTATAAGTATGATTAAGAAATGTGCAAAACAAAGCATGCAAAATGCCACTACCTGCCATTTGTTAAGACGCCGAACGCTACAACAATATGTCACCACTGGTTGTGATATAATAAATAATAATCAGTTTAAAATGCTACAAAAAGAAACCAAACACATAATAATTAATGAAAACACTCAACTGAACTTATTTACAAATATTCAAACAATCAGAAGTTTCATCTTGAGTGACAGTACATACTAAATCTCAAGTTTCGCAACATATACGTCAATAAGAAAAGTCTTGAACTTACGATTTCAACTGCTCTAACTTCATTTCTTCTTCATGTATGAATAAATCAAGGCTTTTCATGAGTTTTCGCTCCGCCTTCACAAGCTCCCGGAGTTGACTAATTGAAGTGAAAACTTCGCCATGCACATGACTGACATGATGCAGATTTAGTAAGAGTCCTACTCCAAATGTGTATTTTAATATGGCAATGTAAATCATGATTCGACTTTTTTGATTAGTCTAGTTGAGACTAAAAATCTCCATAAATGGCTGATGTTATACAGACTTGTGCTTATTAGCAAACACCGATCTCGGGGGATAGATATAACGGAATTAAATCTCCCATCAAAAAACTACAGTTCTCATATTCTTGATTTTATTATCCTGTGCAGTCCAGTCTTATTAATTAGATGAATAATTGATAGACTTCTTTATTACATCCAAATTAAGTATTCTCTGTCGTAGGGCAAAAGTAATACCTCAATACCTGAAAAGAAAAAAGAAAAAGATTTCAACCACACGAAGTGCATCTGATTAGGGCTTGAAATACAAAATGTTCAGAAAGGTATCGGTTAGGGTAGAACCTCGTGTTTAAGAATCCCTATATCCACCAATTGGAATTGAAAATGAATATACACAGTAACATCATTTTACTAGTTGGCACTCAATCAACCAATGTTCTTTGGGGTTGATCATTATGAGGATTTGATGATATCCCCATGTTAAGTCAATTAATGGTACATATCCAAATGTTAAGTCAATACACCGTTGCTGAAATCCTCATTTTCTCAGAAGCACCTAATTGGTTGATTAAGCCTCAACATGTTGAAATATGTTAACTGTTTACTGCTTTGACTGTTTACTGTAACGACTGTTAACTGCCATGCCTGTTCACTGTTATGAGACTGCTAACTGATATGATTGTTTACTGTTATAAGGACAGTTAACTACTATGACTGTTTCCTGTTATGAAGATTGTTATCTGTTATGTAGAAGGTATGGGCAGTACAGAGTCCATGAACTAGGCACGACGTACTTTTTCCACTTTTAAGTAACCGATTACTCAATGATTATCTGTCGTATATCAAATCAATTGTTCTTACCTTTAAATTTTTTCCTCAATATATTTTGCTGCATTTACATGTATGTACCATCGGTTGTGTGGTTTCTAGAAAGTTTAAACTCGATATACTAATCCTAAATAAATATATTCACATGTCAGACATGACATAGCCTACATCTGAGATTTATTTATCATGTTTATAGTTTCTCTCACATCACCTATACATGCATATAGCAACACACTATTGTTTTTCTCATTCTTTATATAGTAAGTATCACGGTGATTTATGATACTGAAGCTACAGCAACGGACTGCGACTGACAACGGACAACTGACTGAAATGGAGTAACATCATGTTTAGGGTCTTCCTTACCATTCCCATTGTGATCCTGGTCATGTAAATGACATGTGAAACTAGTAAATCTGACTGGATGTGAAAACAGAATTCAGGTTTCTTAGTTTTAAAAAATCCAGCATCTTTTCTGACTTCCTGTTTTGTGTTTCTGTTAACTCCCACCTTAAAATGGAACGTTACTCAAATTCAGGATGAAGAAAAGACCAAGAAAATCCGACACACGGAACTTTTTCACTTACCTTCATAAAACTAGCTGTGTTATTACTGTGTGATCAAGTTTTTGAACATTGCAATTAAATACATTTTAAATTAAATTACAGTGTTAATTATTAAATTAATAGACTGCTCTACGAGTAAAATGCAATTGCTATAAAATATTATTGATATTTAATTACGTTTACATGCAGTTCAACCCGTAGTAGTATCATTCGCGATCGTCTGCCCGAGGCATCAACATCAAGTCAAATTTATGATTTCGATATTTCAATGGATTTAGAACTGGCAGAGCCCTATAATTTCAAATCTCCAAGAAACCATTTCAGTATTGTGGGTTTTCGTCTCCCCATTCACACAAGTATCCATAGTGCCACAAATATGCAACCTCAGTTTAGTGTGGGGATAAAGGTAGTGACCGAAATTTTCAAAATGGCCTTATTTAAGCTTTAATGTCTAGTTTACGAATCCCTATTCTTACTCTTGAAAATGGATTCTGGCAATACTATCCCACGTGAATCTTCTTGTTGAGATTCGGTCAACTTGAGTTCTGAGAAAATAATAGAGGGATAGGCATAGCCAGCTTTCAGTCAGGGGATGCGATCGTGGCATAACCAAGCAAAAATAGACTTGTTTGACAAAAAATGGATGCAACTTCCTTCAGAAACTTCAAATAATTTATTTTTCTATTCTTCTTATATCTCATGGTTCTATGGTTATGGTTATGGTCTTGGTTATTGGTACTTCGCCTATGGAGGGTATCAGCGAGGGTGCATTGAGTCATTGACATAACATGGTGACATAAATGATCGTATCCCGATGCTAAGTCTTGTCAATGATGTGCATGTATGTCCCTATGTCGAGTCAATGCACCCAGAATTCCTCTATCGTCTAAATTAGAGCCCTTTTATATAGATGATATTATCTTTAACTCATCAAGCTCTGGACATTTTCAGGGTTTTGGGATCCAAATAACTATGATTTCGAAAGATGGATCAGAGATGTGGGGACAGTGATTTGCCAGTAAGAGTTATGCCTGGGTCACGTTTGATCCTCGACAACCGTACGGCGGCAATAGCTTCCCAATATCATGAGAAATGTCCAGCATAAAATATAGTGATAAGCAGTACGATGTAGATTTTCTATATCGATTTTGTGAAGCTACGCCAGGGAGCAACGGCCGCCGTAGAGCAAATGTGACTGAATGTGGCTTTACCCTAACTGATGCAAGCAGTATGTCTCAGGAGCTTTAGCTCGAATGGGAGGGGCAACACTAACCAATAAATGGGTGTTCTGGAGAGGGGGTTTGCCACTTTTGCCATGCATGCACAAATGGTCAACACAAAACATTTAAAGTGGATAACAATTTTTAAAACTAAAATTTTGATATTTAATATGTATTGTTTATGTTCCAAATATGATGTTACTTTGACTGAATTTTGCATAGTTAAAAAACCAAAGATATTCTGCTCGCATCTAATCTAGTCTTGTTTCAATAATTAGGTTAGGTGTGACGTCATTTCTAATTTACATCCAAGTAACAAATCAAAATAGTGAGATTCCTGCCACGATCCCGGGCCACGCTGTAGTAAGTGATATAAAACAATACGTCATCATGTACACGGTGATGTATAATAAAAACGAAAATAATATATATTTCGATACATGTTAAAAGGTAGTGGAACACTCGTACTCCCACAGGCGTAAATAATAATACGAAGAGTGCACAATTAAGGATTGTCTGAGTGGAATGAAGCAGCAACAATACTTTAAGTCTTGGGCTTAGATTCTTTCCACATATTGCAAATGTTTTCTACAAATTTACCTAAAAGATACCAAATCACTTAAATAATATATTTTCAATGATCAATGAAACTTCTAGCAAGAGTCAAGTTGGCAAAGTATCCATCTCAATCTGTGAGTCCAGTTATCACCTTGACAACCATACAACAAATGCGTTATTGGTTATATAACGGAATGCAGTTGCGTGAAATAGCACGCTCTGATTGGCTGGCATCGGTCACACTTGCCTAGCTAAGTGTCCATCTAGTATACTTCACGATATCAGAGTTGGGATTTTCTCAGGTAAACCAGAGTCAGTGAGTTCTTCAGATACTTTAATATTCTTAAAGTATGCGACTTCTGTTTTTCCGGGAGCACCTTTCTTTTTCGAGTCCTTCCCTCCGAAATACGTTGAGAAATAAAGCGAGTCAATGAGGACTTTGTTATTGGTTCTATACACAAGTTCTGTTAGGTTGGCGATCTGAACGCCATCTATCCAAACTTTTAGGGTACCGTTTGTGAAACCTGGTGTGTTGAGGCGGACCTCTTGTTTGACATGGTGCCATACATCAGGTAAAAACTTCTTCGCGCCTTTCACACCGATAAAGTGACCATCTTTCTTGCTGCATCGACTCTTCTCAGGTTGGTACGCACTACAGATTTCATGGTCGTCTGGAATTTGTAAATGAACACCGGCTTTACCCCGTTTCCTCCACAAAAATCGTGTTGCGAAGCAGTCACTAGGTTCAGTCTCGGTAGGCGTGTTTCCCGGACTCGATCTACATTTTCTTGAATTTGTGCTCGAGCCAAAAAGTCCAGGTAGTTTTCCTCCTACTTTAAAATTGAACCCGTGGGCGAATTTTAACCGGTAAGACAGTGATGCTTGGTCCATCGGTTGGCACAGCATTGCGAAAAACTCCACACCTGATGTTACACCCCACCTGCGCTTGGGGTAATACACAGTTATAGTGTCTCCCAGAATACTGTACGTCCCCTTAGTTCCTCCTCGTATGGTGTTTATACAAACTTCAGCATCACCTCCTGAAAAATCAAATGATAATTGAGGTTTCGGTAACCAGGTTTAAAAGATTTTCTCGTAGTAACTGAACACGGGCTGAACACTCTGGCGTTTTCAACCAAGGTGAGGAGTCCAGTTTTATTTTTACTAGTATAGGTAAACCTGATTTATTTAAACAAAACACATTTTAAACAAAATACCTTCAAAATAACGTTCATGGATTAAGGAAAATTCTGTACCATGATTTTACATGAAATTTCTGCTCTCATATCATAAAACAGTAATATTTATCAGTTTTTCAAAACGTGTACACGACAAGTCCAGATCAATAAAAATATATTAAATAGATCTAGCTCAATCCATGCAGCGATGTAGACACATTTCTATTGATTTCTGGAGTCTACATTTTCAATTATGTTTGGTTAAAAACACTACTAGACATAAAATATATGAAATACCTTACCTTGAAAAAGGGCGATTGACAATAATGTGATAATATAAGACACGTTAATCGCCAGGAAATCCATCACTGCATCAAGTAGCTAACTCCGAGAGTGTTTTGTCAACTAATGAATAAGGTACTACATTCTGAATATATACTAAATGGCATTGGAAACCACAAATTCTGAAAAATTGAATCAAAACTGACTGAGATAATCAACCAATATTACTAATTAACCTAATTAAGCGTTTTGAATATAACTAATTAACCTAATTAAGCGTTTTGAGTTCGTCTTTTCTAGAAAAACACGCGCATGTCATTATATGTCACACAAAATTGGAGAACTTTACAAAGTAGATTACCTATTTTGGCCATCATGAAAAACCATGACATCTCATTTCTTCTCAGCCCATGGTTCAGGTGAAACAGAAAGATGCTATGAGTATCAGAATGCTTCTTGGCAGTGACATAAAAATCTGTTCTAGATTTTACTTGAATTTCACAGTGAAGTGCAATGAGGTGAGCTCAAAATATCACCCACAGCAATTTCATGTTATTTTGAACCACAAATAGGTATCATTAAATCGTAACTGACTCCGAGATCATGAGGTGGGGTAATATTCCTAGCTAAGTATTCCAATCTTTCTTCTTTCTTTAAAAAAATGTATAAATCATGGATGAGGAACGATTGAATCAGCGTCAAAATATCATTTATTCCAATTTAATAACATTTGAAACCATAAACTTTGCCAAATATAGTCTTGCTTCAAGACAATGGACCCCATTATCTACTTCTCCAACACAACACACCACAGCGTGTAAAGTAGATAAGGGGAGTGGGTCCAGGGTCTTGAAGCAAGCCTATTTGCCAAATTGAATTGAATTAAAAAACCGACTTTGTGACATAATTGGATTAGGATAATAGGACATATCATAGTATGGCTTCTGCTTTTAATCTCCTCTGCTTTTCCATTCTATTTCAGTGTTTTAATTTGAATAAAATATCAACAGTAATTCAAAATTAATGCAATTAACCAAGAGACATTGGCCAATTAGTTATTTTATTTTACAAAATATTACAGATCTTATTCACAATAAACAAATATGCAAATGAGGTTACATGTTCCAATATATTTTGCTCAAACTATACATCTTTCAAAATTAACAATAAAATTAGAAATAGAAAGAAAGAAAATGAAATAATATCTGTTATACTCGAAATGCAACCTTTATGTGCAATATTCATGCCTATAT